TATTTATTATGGGCACAAAAATTGAATAGCATTTGATTAATGGAATTAACCTCTTGTTTACAAAGTTTAATTCATGTTAGATTACTATGTAAAACATCAGATTAGTTTTGTATAGAACAGTGGAGGTAAGAGAACGGCCACACAAAAGAATCAAACTGTGCATTAAATGGATGCAATTAATAGCGTCAATACAAACTCGGTGGAGACAGTTAAATCTATCTGATTTAACTGGATTAATTACTGTAACGTGTCAATATTCGAATTCAGAGTAAAAGTCTTAATCCCTCTAATGTTTTCTTTATTCCTCTTTTCCTTTAGACTTTGTCAATACTCTTCATGAAAGGGATTATAATATGATTAAATTCTTGGGAACTCTGACAATTACCAACACACAAAGATTTGGACAGAGCCATAAGTTTCCTGTGAAACAGTGGAAACATGGAGGCCGAGATCAATACCCACCAAACAGGTCCCTTCCCACTATTGATCCACAGTGTATACACTCTAAAAATAATCAGTCAACTTCTCCAACTTTCTCTATCCTTAGAAGTTCAACACACTTTTCCTATATGCTACCCACAATGAGAATTGAAGGAGACTTTTAACAATGGGCCCTCAGAAAACAGCTGCAGTTGTGGTTATTTGTTCAAACCCCTCCTCGGTGTCCCTGTTGAAAATTGTGTTAGTCTGAAGAGAGTTCATTGTCTAGATATAGTTAATATTCTTGAAGAGCTGTACTCTTAGGATAATAACAGTGATATCATATGCTTTATTCACAAATTAATTTGGTTACTTTGAGTTCAAACCTCTTGCAATTGAGGAAAATGATATAGCAGAGAGAGTTTTTGCTTTAAATAAGTATGCATTTTCAATGAACTTTTGTCACGTTAGATCTTGTATGTGTATGTCTAGCACACATGTTAACCAGTCAATCAGGTTAATATCAAAAGAAGTTGAAAGTGTAAAAAGGGATTATTGACATTTTTTTCCAAGCAACCCTTTTGAAAATTTTCATTGGGAATACACCTTAATTTCAATACAGTTAAAACTGTATCCTCTGACACCTGTGTTATCTGTTTCTCTTTGATTCCTGACCTTTATTTTCATACGTTTCCATTTTATTATTAATTTCCATGTTCTTTACCATCTCTGTTCTGACACATAATTTTTATCCCAATACACTGTTAGATAATTAGACAGGTTGCACTCTATTGATCTACCTTTTAAAAGCTATATATTTTTTTTCTCTCTCAAGAAAATGATAGTCTTTTGACTATGTTAAGGCTAGTGTCTTATATTTTTAGATTTTTAAGAAAATTTGTTCCTCAGTACCAGCTCATCAAAATTATGTTCATAAACTACAGTAAAACATGTTTACAATGTATAACAAAGATCCAAGGACCGATGAATTTGATTTGTTTTAAACAAATACAAATTGTTGTATCCATTTAGTGTACCATATATTTTAAAGTCTAGGGGAATGAAAATCACTTTGCTGTAAGCGTCAATTCATTGTAAGGATACTGGCTATAAGCTTGTTTTACTGTATTTATTTTGTATTGGAGGGAATTGTCATTTACACTCTCTTCTCTTTTTGCATTGATCTTGCAAAGAATTAGATGATATAAGAGCATTTTGAAATTCAGTTGTTCTGTGGTTGGTGTATATTTAGAGGGGAAAAATCATTTTTAATTTTAATTGATATGCAGAACTAATTTCCAATTTAACCTTAAGATCAGCTAGTTGAATAAAAATGAATCAAATATTCCAAATACAGGCTTTTAATGACAGTGCTGCATAATAAAATTTTGAATTTTTAGAAAACCTATCACTCAGTTGTAAACTTTTTCCCTCTGATCAAAAAAATTTCAATAGTAAATCAAATATCAGACCGACTTGTGTAGATTGAAGGTTTATTGCCTATATAGCAATAATATTTACATACATCACCTGGTCGGTTTCGCGCAGTAAAATTTTATTGCATATATCTATGCACTTTGATGTCATTGACAGTATACTAGCTCAGAATAATCATTTGGACTTCAGTAATCATTACTCTTTTATCATTACTCTTTAAGTGGAAATAAGGCATGCATATCTTTGACTTATATAGCTTAATTGATTTTCAAAGTATTGAAGGTTGGCTCAATTTTGGTATACACAAAGTCTGAATTTTCAAGCTTAAGGTGGAGAAATTCATTGATCATGAGTATTTAATTTTGTTGTTAAGTCGTATAATTCAAGAGGCGGTGTCTCTCCTAAAAAACTTTTCAAAGTTTTCTTAGAGGACCACAAAGGGTATATTTGGGCATGTTGGTCTATATGACTTATCTTTGTGAGGCTTTCATAACAATTTAATCCATCCCAAAGTGTTAGTCTAAAAGATTAGCTATATTATGTACATGTATGTGATACAGTTATGAGTTGTTCATTGAACTTTCAATCTATGTTTCCTTGTGTTCTTAAACCATGCATATGGTTTTAAGTTTCCAAATATATTTTTGCTGGTGTACAGTTTATAGATACAGGTTCAATAGTTGATCCCCATTTCAATATTGACAATGGCTTTTTATCTCAGAAATGGTCATTCTTAACTATTAAATGTCTCAGGATTTTAATTTGTAAATTGTTCTTTGTGATTGCAAAGGATTGGAAACCATTGTGACCCGTATTTGCACTGGCTGTCCCGCTCGGCAAATTGACCACCCAATGCAAACCCAATCCACTCTAACCTTGATTTAATTTGAAACATCAATTGAGCAGGGGAGATAAATCTATCTGGCCCTTGACTAATGTTTGCTCCCAATGATTGATTAGTATGATGTAGTGTTGGAAATGAAAAAGAAAGTGAAAATAATTTATCGAAGATGGGGATTTAATCAATTTCAATTTGTCTACTTGGTCAATGGTTTTGAACTCCAACAGGAAATGCATTGTAGGCTTTTTTTGTTCAGAAAGAGGAAAATTCTGAACACTTGATAGTGAACAAGATTGACTGAAATGAACTAGATCAGGATCGAGATTTATTTTCAAACACAGCTGATTCATTGCGGTTGTTCCTTTAATTTGTCCATGTACTTTCAAGATTGTAGACAATAGTCACACTAAGTTTACCCAAAAAACTGAATCTATTTTTGGGGTATATCCCCTTAAGATATAACCATGCAAAAATCAAATTTCTGCAGAAGAGGGGGGGATGTGACTGTTATGACATGACTATGCTGTAATATGTCGATGAACAATGGCATATTATGGATAGATCGAACCTTCTGATAACTGGAAACTAATATTGGTGTCCAAGAAGGGCAGCTAAGTGCAGGAAGCTTTCAGCAGTTTCTACCTGAATACGCACAGACCCCACTTCTAATGAGCTGTGTTCTTTGTCCCATTTAGTTCTTGTCAGACCTGATTGTTTTCCAGTGTCCCGAGTCCTCTCTGCTGAGCAATGCACTTGTTGTTTTAAATTTGAATGTCACTGCTTTTTGTCTTTTTAAGACTTTTTAAAGTTTTTTGCTGTCGTGTGGCGGCTTGATTGATAGAGATCTAGTGAGGGTAACATACCACTGAATACCTTATCTCTGATTTCGAAAAACTTTCCCTTTTGTTGTTTTAAAAGTTAGAAATCTTGCAGTTGTAATGAATGACTTTTGTTTGTTCAGTTGACGATAACGGGCACTAATTAAGGCACATTCTAGTGAAATTTACGGCAACACGTTGGAAACGTGATATACTAGCCAGTTGAATGTCTTCTTGTTCATCACAATGTATGGGACTTTGAGTCATCAATCTTATTGCTTAGAACATCCCAAGACATGTACGACATTCCATTGACTTCAGTCACATAGCAGACATTGCTGTAATAAAGATTTGACCATTGAAGAACAATAGAAAGCGAGAAAGCCCTTTGCGGTTTCTAATGACTTTTCGCAAAAGAAATCTAGTCCATTCACCGGTGTGCTAATCGCTAGGAACGTTGGTCAGACGCATGTATAAACACAGCAATTATCGAGATAAATATCGAAAGATATTGGATTGAAAAAGAATACCCTTAATGTGTTTAATTAGCAATAATTTATCCTATAGATTTATGATATATTAATTTGTTTCAATCGAAAGATCAAAGAGGTATCATAGGAAGATCAAAGAAAACAGAATTGTCCCCTTGTGTATAATTATACACTCGGAAATGAAAAGTCATACCCAAACTAATTTTTTATGGTTGAAACAAAATATGCTTTTTTTTAAAATTTGCTCATAAATTTTGCTCATATCATTAAGGTATCATGCCAGTCATTACTTAATATTCTGATCATATTGAAAGTCATTGGGGGCCCAAAGGACATTTAGTCCTGTGTACTCAAGGAACAGTCACAAACACATAAGACCAATTCAAATTTTATCATAATATACCAAAAAACCTAATGTACACTAAGTGAAACATGGCTGTGTAAATGCAGAACCATTGAAATCTTGCAGTCAATCCATGCAGTTTTAATCTTAATTACTTAATTAAGGGCATATTACTTTGTGCAGCTGTCTTTCGGTCTATCATTCGGTCGGTCTGTCTGTTGGTCCACCTTCAGTTTCCGTTCATTTTGTTTGCAGAGTTTGCACATATTTTGAAATGAAAAATTCCAATTAGCGGGTATTTTTGGGAGGGGAGCATAAGTATTTTACAAACATATCTTGTTAAAACAAATGATTTTATGATTATGTTTCAAAATAGTAAATCTCAAAACCAAATGCTATAAAAGCATATCAAACATTCAAGTTCAGTATAAAAATTGAAACATCAGACCTAACCTGGAAGTCACTGTAAATTGGTCAGGTCTGATGTCTTTCTGTACAATTTGTGTGTGTGAAATGAGAATGATATTTTAAAAAATATACATTCCTCTTTTCACAATGAACAAATTGTTATAAAAGATAGCTACATAACACTAATCTTAGAAGATGGACTAGAGAACGTGTAATGACAACCCTGTTTGTCTGTATTCTAGGCCTACCTACGTGAGGGTGTAGCACTACAGAACCTAGGACAGCATGGAGAAGCATTGGCTGCGTTTGGGGCGGGGCTGGCCCAGGACTCCAACAACGCCAACCTCATAACCGGTCTTATTGACGCAGCGCTCAAGTCCCCACTCAAAGGTATAGTGATGTTCAAAACACTGATTCTCACTTATTATGGATATAAAACTACAACTAATTGTACAAAATATCTTTGAATCCAGTTTGTGGAGAGGGCTTATATAGGCTATGCCTGCTGCCCAATCCGTTGATGTATTCATTGGATAATAAAATATGTTCAATTCAAATCAAATATCTTTGAATTTCTTGTGCTTTTTACTCATAAACACCAAGTACCTTTTTGCAAATTCATTATTTTCCTATAAGAGCTGTAACAACTTGGTTTCGTTAAGAAAAGGAGTGAAGAATCATTTTTCTGACTTCTTTAAATTCTTTTCAGACAAACTTGGACCAACCTTCAACCAATTGCAGAAGTTGAAACTAAACCAGAGTTCTTTTGTTATCATCTCTGTGATTGGTCAGGAGCTTTTGGCCGCAGGACACTACAGTGCTGCTGTGTCTATGCTAGAAGCTGCGCTGCAGATTGGAACATGCAGCTTAAAACTTCGAGGATCTGTCTTTTCTGCTTTAAGCAGTGCATACTGGGGCCTGGGGAGCATAGATACTGCCATTTCATACATGCAGCATGATCTGTCTGTAGCAAAATCACTTGGTAGGTATAAAAGGTTGATAAAAAAATAGCATGCCTTGAGTATTATAAATTGCTAAACTCTACTAGGTTATTTTAAAAGATGCTTATTAACTTTATTTAAGGTAGGTTACATGTATTTTGACCTAAGAATGTGGCCAAATGAATCAAAAGAATGTAATTTATGATTGATCTAACTGGTAAATGTGCATAAAATTTTGCCATACATCACAAATCAAATCATTCAAACTGTTTATTTTGCAGCAAGAATTTGTCTTCAATACTTGCATTATCCATCCATATTATATGATCAGTAGCATATTAATAAACTGTTTTAAAGGTTTTGATAAAAATATTGAAAATAAAATTAGCCAAATATGGTATATATGCTTTTTTGACATATAAAAGTAGGTTGCTGCCAATGCCATAGGATCAAGTTTTTAAAATTTACTTGTCCATCAATTGTCAAAGGTTTTTTTTTAATCATCAGAGTCATTCTTGATAAAAATTAATTATTCATTTAGTACAAAACGTATATTAAAGGAAATTGATTTCCATTATTCAAATAAAATTTGTTTTTGCAATTGTGCATCTAAATTATTCAGAGACATATTACCAAGTAATAAAGAAATTCAAAGAAAATAAAAATTTGATCAAAATTTGAGCATGCAGCAATAAGACCCAAATTACTTGTTCCCATGTAAAACGAAGATAGAATTGATTTCGTAACCCGACAATTGTTAATTTGCCTGCTAGCCATATTGTCAAAATTGCTTGCAATTTGGGTTGGGAACAATCATAAAATTGTCATATTTTGTAACCAAACAAGAGAAAAGAGCCCCCAATCATCCTAATAACTTGGCTTCGTAAATTGCAAGTGAATCTTTTTTTTTTTTCAATGCCCAGGGTGTCTCCGAGTAAATTATCGTTGACATAATTGACATCGTGTTGGTTAATAAAATTTTCTTTTCTTCCAAAGTGTCGATCTTTTGCAGCCTTATGCTAATTGAATCGGGGCTCATGTTTTTTCTAGGTCCAAGTTTAATATTTTGGCGTGCTTCCATTCTGTAAAGCGTGTATTTATTCAGTTGTGTTTTGTCGACTTTCCCAATAGAAGTGTACACATTATTTGTGTTCCTTTTAAATCTACGATCAATTATTGGTCCTTGTTTGCTTAGTGTATTTATGATCTTTTAATTCTTAAGACCATTGTGAAGGATGGTTGGATTAAAGTAGATAATTCAGTACTAAAAAGATCTCAACAATGGCTAGGGGGTCCCACTCTGGTACATTTTACACAATATTAGTGCCCTAAAATGTAATTGACTAATTCTCTTCAAGGGCAGATTACTCAGGACAAGTGCCGTCTTTGAAGATCATTTTAATAGGCTACTAAGGGTAAATTTCAATTAAAACTATTTAAAATTGATGACAATTCGGACATTCTTGCATTACAACAACATTTTGATAAGAGTGATTGAAAATTCTTTTTCACTAATGCAGTCTCCTTGATGCAAGAAAAACGCAATTCCTGTTTTTCTTTGCAAATGTTGTAAGAACACTCGTCGGTTTGCATGTGATTCAATGAGTTCTCAGACCTTGATTGATTTTTTCGGTGTTTGAAATTCCATTTGAGTCAACAATATTGTTCCTATCAGACCATTATCCATATAAAAAATGCATTACTGTTGTGAAGAAAATTCTTGATAGAAAGATCTTCATTCCAGTGCAATCATTTTGTGATCTAGCAAAGAAATGTCAGATCAGTTGAGTAAGGTTTACAAGGTTGTTTTTTAACACGTGAAGTTTAAAACTAAATAATCTGATAATATTGCTTTATGGTTTAACCTACAAGTGCCCCTATCAATTTTATTTTATCTCAAACCTTCAAGTATACTGTTGTACTTTAGATATATGCTAAATTTTAAACCCATAAATGTCAGTAAGGGAGCATTAAAACATCAGATATAATTAAAAACATAATATACATTTATTATTTGATTAATAAATTGATGATAAAATCAAGTATTGAAATCAATCTTTTTCTTTCCAGTAAATTTTTCTACGGGTATAGTATTTTATCAGCCATCTACCCACGTACCTATATATAAGCACCAAAGTACACATTTTTAATGAGGGAAAAATAATTAAGCACCTTTCATATTGCAATCTTATTACCTTTATATATTCACAATGGATGTTAATGTTTTGGGAGTCAAAAATCTTCCTCATCACTTTATAAATATGTTTATGCTTGATACTCTTGACTATGCATTTACATAAAAGTTTAAAACATGACTGTTTTAATTTAAGATGTTAAAATGAAAATGAGAAAGTAATCAATGTATATTAATTCTTTGAAGCATCAGGTTACTGTGGTAATGTTCTATTATGTATATATAAGCAATATTTTGAAAATGCAAATTTAGTTAATTTAAGAACTGGCCCGATGATCATGAAACAAACTTGGACCTAAATAAAATTTTCAGTCAATCTAAAAGGATTTAAACTCTAAATTTGCAAATAATAGCAGTATGATAATGTAACAATTTTTTTTCTCCAAATTCTTAGATGCCCATAGTATTATTACTAATTAATGCCACTGAAATATTTTGGTGTACAAACTTGATATATGTGCAAAATTTGTTGCTAAATTAGCTGAATCTTTACATAAAGAAAAATTGACTTCTCTGTAAAACTGTATTACTGATCAATTTGTTCCTTTTATTAAGTAGGAAGATTTGAGTTGATTGTGATGTCCTATTTTTAGGGGACCATGATGGAGAGTGTCGTGCCTATGGAAACCTGGGGTCAGCCTACTTCTCCAAAGGTCACTACAAGGAGGCGCTGTCCAATCACAGATACCAGCTGGCCCTGGCGATGAAGCTCAAGCAGCGGCAGGCAGCGGCGTCTGCCCTGGGCAGTCTGGGTCATGTGTACACCGCCATCGGAGACTATCCCAATGCTCTGCAGAGCCATAAACAGTGTCTCTTTCTGATGAAGCAAAGCGGAGACAAACTTCAGGAAGCTAGGGAAATCGGAAATGCTGGGGCTGTGTATCTGGCCATGGGAGAATTCAGTAGTGCAGTGGAGTGTCATAATAAACATTTACAAATTGCCAAAAATTTGAAAAATAGTGTGGAAGAGGCCAGGGCTTATAGTAACTTAGGAAGTGCATTTCATTACAAAAGGGATTACCAGAAAGCAATATCTTATCATAAACAGGTTCTTCAGATTGCGGAGGAAAGACAAGATAAAACGTTAGAAGCCCGGGCTTATGCTGGACTGGGCCATGCATCTAGGTGCATGATGGACTATGAAAATGCAAGAAAATATCATGAAAAACAACTTGACAATGCGTTACAGACTAAAGATAAAGTGGCTGAAGGCCGAGCTTGTTCAAACTTGGGAATTATCTTTCACCAACTCAGTGAATTTAAGTCTGCTTTGAAACTTCACCAGGTGCATCTTCGCATTGCAAAGGAACTTGGTGATAATGCTAGTCAGGGACGTGCTTATGGTAATTTGGGAAATGCTTACTGTGCTTTAAAGAATTACGAACAAGCTGTGAAATATCATAAACAGGAATTACAAATTTCTTCGCAAGTGAATGATAGACATTCGGAAGGAGCTACTCATGGAAACCTGGCCGTGGCCTATCAGGCATTGGGCATGGTGGAGAAAGCCCAGTTTCATTACACATCTCATCTCAACATCTCTAAGGAACTCAAGGATACTCCCAGTGAAGCTAGGGCCTTGTGTAACTTGGGAAATTTTTATAGTTCAAGGGGAGATTATTCTAGTGCTGTGAGATTTTACGAGCAATACTTAATGTTGTCACAAGAGTTGCATGACTCCGAGGGTGAAGCTAAAGCTTGCTTTAATCTTGGTTATGCTCATTTTGCTTTGGGAAATCACCTTGAGGCTGTGAGATATTATGAACAGGATATGTCCATTGCTAGGGAATTAAAAGACCAACTGGGCATGGCCCGGGCTTACTGTAACTTGGGCCTTGCCCATAAAGCTTTACATGACTATCAGGAATCCTTAGAGTGTCAAAGGAACTGTTTAACCATCATGAAGAGTATAAAGAATACAAAGGGTATATTCAGAGCACTGGGAAATATTGGAGATGTGTTATTAAAACTGGGTGATGTGACAGAAGCTATAGCAATATACAAGGAACAGTTACAAATGGCCAAACAAACAAGCAGTAAAGATTTGATAGCAACTTCTTATGGTGCATTGGGGGCTGCCCATAGAAGTCTGGGCCAGTATGACAAAGCTTTAGGCTACCATACCCAGGAGCTGAGTATCAGGCAGGACATGGATGATCGCCGTGGTGAGTGCAGAGCACATGGGCACCTTGGAAATGTCCACATGTCCCTGGGACATTATATGGATGCACTGAAGTGTTATGAGGAACAGCTGGAGAAAGCCAGGGAACTTCAGAATAGTTCCTTGGAAGCACAGGCCTGTGGCAATCTTGCAATAACAAAAATGAACATGAACTGTTTCGAAGAAGCAATTGGACTGTTTGAACAGCAGTTAGCCATGTTAGAACAAGTGAGTTGTGCAGCCTCTATATTTGACAAAGGCCGAGCTCTGGGTAACCTTGGTGACTGCTACGAAGCCCTGGGAGATTTTGATGAATGTGTCAAATGTCATGAACAGTACCTTGCCATTTCTCAACAAGCCAACAGTTTGTCTGATCAGGACAAAGCATACAGAGGACTAGGAAATGCCCATAAAAATATGGGCAACCTCCAGCAGGCTCTGGTGTGCTTTGAAAAGAGACTTGTTGTGGCCCATGAGCTGAACAACAGCTCCGCAAAGGCTTCAGCTTATGGTGAGCTGGGTTGTTTGCATAGCCATCTGGGTAATTTCGAGCAGGCCATTTCCTGTCTTCAGCATCAGTTGACCATTGCTCAAGAGATGGAGGACAAAAGGTGTGAGGGGGAGGCAGCGTGTGGTTTGGGAGGGGTTTATCAGAACATGGGCGATTATGACAAGGCTCTGGAGTATCATCAGATGGACCTAGAGATAGCAGAACAGACAAACAATTCCACTTGTCAATGTAAGTATTTATATACCGGTAATTCTTTTTGTTTTAAGATTTAGTGTGATAGCATATGCCATGGATAGGTGCATTTATTAGCCTAGGGATTTTTTGGTTTCCTTATTTATATGCAAGCACTTTCTTCTGGAAGTTCAACTTCCCATGTTAAATTGTTTTTATCTCATTTGGAACAAAAGTAGATAAAATTCATGATTTCTTAGACTGCAGATCATCTAGTGCAGTTTTTGAGCTTCAAAGTTTACTCTATATTCAAGGTTGCATAAAAATTAAACAAAACAGAAAAATGTGATAGGTTAACAAAAAAACAACATATTTTTAAATACCTTTGGAAAGAAATTATACTGAGTTTGACATTTTATCAGGTCGAGCCTATGGAAATCTTGGTCTTACCCATGAGTCACTGGGCAACTTTGAGGAAGCCATTCAGTATGAGGAGCAGCATCTGAGCATCGCAGCTCAACTGAATGACAGAGTGGCTAAAACTCTGGCTTACAGCAGTCTGGGTAAGGATGGAGAACTCATTTTTTCTTGTCTGCGTATTTATTAGTGGCTTTGTTATCTCTATATTTCCTCAAGCTACAGACTAAGTGCTTTTTCACATTAAAGCCTACACATCTATTAAATGAGAAATGTTATAAATTTGACTAGGATTATGCATTGCTGAAATAGAAATGTTTTGTTCTGTCTAGGTCGTGTTCACCATGCACTCAATAACCATTCCCAAGCAGTTGAGTATCTGCGGCAAGGTCTTACGATAGCGGAACAGTTGGGAAGAAAAGAGGATGAGGCGAAGATTCGCCACAGGCTCGGTCTGTCCCTCTGGGGTAAGGGCGACCTGGACGAGTGTCAACAACAGCTATACAAGGCCACAGACTTATTTGAGAGCATCAGACGAGATGGACAGCTCAACAGCGAGTACAAGATGTCACTGTTCGATCTTCAGACAGCCTGTTATCAGGCGTTACAGGTAAAAAAGTGTGCCAGCAAGTTATTAACCATATTTTGTTGACATTTTATCAGATATGTCAAGGACTCCCTACACAGTATCAATGCTCCTTCTCAGGAGGAATCTTTATATCTTGTCAAGTTATACATGGAAGTGGCTCATAATTTTTATCAGGAAATGATTTGGTACATACTTGTAAGTCATGCCCTTAACTCCGTATGAATTCCTTAGATGTCTAGACTCTTACATTTTGCTATTTCTTTTGACAGCGTGTTCTGGTTTCCTTAAATCGACATGAGGAAGCTCTGGTCATGGCCGAGCGAGCCTGCACTCGAGCGTTCATCGACTATCTGCTGGAGAGACAGGCAGGAAGCGATGGGATGTTCCGGAATGATATTGACCCTGCCCCAATCACTTGTGACCAGATCGTCAATATCGTCTCCAAACAGAAGTCTCTGGTGCTCTGTTACTCCATAGCTGCTGGTTATCTCTATAGCTGGTTACTGACCCCAGATAATGGTAGGCAGCTGGAAAAAGGATCTCTGAAAATAGCTCTGAAATCAGTCAATAAAATATTGCATACTTATAATAAAAAAGAAAAAGGAAATTCACAATTAGTAAAGACGATAGTCAAGGAGCATATATATAGTAGCCATTAATAAATGATTCATTTCTTCAAATTCAATTGTCATGATTTCCATTTCTGGTAGAATAAAATGAATAAAACAGTGATTGCACAAGATAATAATCATTAATGGCTTAAAAACCTGTTCATCAAATGTTTTATTGATGCAATTTTCACTTCTTATTTAATGCAATTTACTACAGCAATGCATTCACAGGTCGTAATAAATATCAAGCAGAATACTAATCTTCTGTATTTTATCTTACAAGGCATTGTGAAATTCCATGAGACCAACATGACTGAGCTAGAGGCGGATTACGGAGAACACAGCGACACTCTGAGTATGAGGAGTGTTAACTTTGGCTCCTGTTCTGTTCTGGATCAGTATGTAGGACATGTCAGGGAGTCTATGGGAATAGAAAGCCACACTGTCAGGTTTGTATCTCATTTTAGCAATTTTTAGATAGTAACAACTTAAAAATTTTCTAAGGTTTTCATATATTGTTATCCTTAAAAGATAATAAACACTTTTAAGAATGAAGGAAATTTTTTTTAATCTTTAATATTTTTTAGAAGTAAAGGTATATATGTATATTCTGGAGGTAATATAAGTTCTGTATGTAATGACCTTATTGACCTTTTAGAACACCAATAAAATTATATTTATCTCCCTTTTTTAGGAACAACAGCAGTCGTGAGAGCGAGACAGACAGTGAATCAGACGACGTCTGGCAACAACACCTGGAGGAGCTCGGTGACAAACTAAACGCTGAGAATGACAGAACTGGATTCCTCCGGATGGTCAACCGGAACCACAAACTCAACAGCAGTAACTACAGCCTCAGCAGTATGTTCAGTCTGTCCACCACCTTCACAACCAACAGCTTCAACATGCACAGAAAGTCTAGTCTACGCATGAAATCCCAGGCATCCTCAAGGGCTCCTCTTTCTGTGCTGTATCAAGTGTTGATTGCTCCCATGGAGGAAGCCATTGCTACAGTGTCTGCAGAATGGGGAGGGGGACCCATTGACTTGGTCCTGGTTTTACAGGGAGAGCTGTATCTGATTCCGTTTCCTGTGTTACGGAGAGAACAGAATCAGGAGTACATGTTCGAACGTTTTAATCTGCACATAATGCCGTCCATCACTGCCCTCACTAATGGCCAGAAGCATGACCGTCATGGCCGACCTGTAATTGACTCCTCTGGAGCTGTCATTGTGGGAAGTCCGAAAATGCCATCTGCTGTCAGTCAAGGATGGTGCTTCAAAGATATTCCAGGATCGGAGTACGAGGCTAGAATTGTGGGAGAACTTCTGACCAGCCGTCCACTCATTGGAGCAGAAGCCACCAAAGCAGCTGTGTTGAATCAGATAGAACAAGTGGAGGTGATCCATTTTGCCTGTCACTTGTCCTGGAAGCTCTCCTCCATTGTGTTATGTCCTGGTGATAATCTGACCACCCAGCACTCCTTTCCCTCCATTGACTCGGATGACAGTTCTAGTGATATGGGAGGCTTTGATGGACCTTCATTATCAGAGTATCTTCTCACAGCAGCAGATATTCTTAACCTTAAACTTCATGCAAAACTAGTTGTGTTGAGTTCAGGATACACGGACGATCGTGCAGGTCGTATAAACTCGGACGGTGTGGTGGGGCTCACTCGAGCTCTGTTGAGTGCAGGTGCCAAGTGTGTTCTTTATTCTCTCTGGCCAGTTCCAGATGCTGCAGCCAAGCTTCTGATGAGGAATTTCTACACTGCCCTCCAGGAGGGTAGAAGGGTGACACAAGCTCTGTCTCATGGAATCAAGTCTGTTCAGTCTACAAAACAGTTTTCCCACCCTGCTAACTGGGGAGGCTGGATTCTGGTGGGTCATGATATCAAGCTCAGCAGCAAGATAGCTTTGATGGGACATGCCATCTGTGAGCTGCTGCAGTCACAGAACCAATGTAGGGAAGCCATGAGAGTCCTGTTGCATTTGGTAAGAATTCAGAAAAAGAATTACATGCATTTTATTCTATAGTGTGCTCAAAAGGGAGACAACTCTTTTGAATTTATAATCATCATGAGAAATGGATTCATTTTGTAAGAATTTGGAAAATTTTTTTTTTATCTAGACTTGAACTTTCATTATGACATGTTAGTGTGTTCGAAAGGGAGACAACTCTTCGTAATCTTTCATAATGCGAAAAAGTATTTTATACTCTTGTCATAAATAAATTGAACCCTTGATTTTTTTGGCAGATTGAAAAGTCACTACAGAGAATTCATCAGGGTATAAAGAACTCCATGTACACCACCTGTCAGTCCATTGAGAACAAGGTAGGGGGAATCCCTGGCTGGAAGGACCTTCTACAGGCAGTGGGATTCCGGTTTGAGGCCGCTAGGAATGGGTTGCCACCAGCAGTGTTCTTTCCTCAGACAGACCCTGGGGACCGACTGACTCAGGCCAGTGCCAGTCTGCAGGCTCTACTGGGTAAGTAAATGATTGGCCTAGAAAATTAGCTAAACTTTCCTCTGTGAATTTCTTGATAAAAATGGGAAAAGACTTTGCCCAAGATTGAAGTTAACTATTATATGTTTCTCTTTTAAACTTGATAGGTCTACCACCAAGCTGCTTGACTGCTTTGTCAAAGTTCCTTCCAAATTATGAAGCAGGAGAGGCCTACATACTAGTGGTAAATTAATAACATAATGTACCTTAAAAAATAAAATTATAACCACAAAAGGACTTCATGGCACTGGTATCAGATGATTTGTGTCAGAATATATGTTAACATTTTTTTTTATTTTTGTAGATCAGAGACATTTTGAGCAAAATGGCTGCAAAGGAGTCCAACATTGATGTCCAGATCTGTGTCAAACTGTGGCGCATGACCGGATGTCACGAGTTCTTAGCTTCTCTAGGTAAAGAATATGCATAACATTCAAGGAATTCTCAGGTGTTTTCACTGGCTATCAGATATTTTTTATGTTTAATATTTTTATTTAAACAATGAAATTTTCATCTTCAGGTTTGGACTTGGTGGAAGTTGGAAAGGATGAAGTCACCCTTAGACTTGGAAAACAAGCTAACCGTCGCCAACTTCAGTTTGCCTTACAGTCTCTAGTTGCTGTTTTCGGTAAGCCAATTGCCATTTCAAAAATATCAAAAACTTTCACTTACTTGTACATTCATTTTTCAGTAGCTTAAACCAGTTCAAGGAATTTGACCCAGTTTACCTTCAAATTTTGCTGTTAAATGTAGAAAAATTTAGTTCATGTGAAAATTCACCAAAGATTTTGCAAACTAAACTGAATATTATTTTGCATTCCATAGACACCCAGGAGGCCCCCAAGTCCTTGTCTGTGGACAGTTCCAGCAGTCTAGAGAGTTTATCCTCCTCCCACAGTGGCTCTACCTCAACCTCCAACTTCTCCAAGGGAAGCACCCCTCCTCTGTCCCCCAGGGGGAGCAGGAAGAAGTCTCTCTTCAACCCTGCAGAAATGGAAAAAATGAGAATGATGACCAAGATGCAACTGATGCATCAGGTAGGTCTGACTTATAAGTAAGCTGGTTTTTCTTTGGCTATAAATCTGAAAGAATGTTCACTAATGTTTTACTTTAAACTTTCAGGGAGGACTTTCAGGAAGAAAAGTTAGCTCCAGAAATCAGAGGACCGACCCCTCTATCTACCTCAACCACCAGAGCAGAATCCGTAACATGTACGGACCTTCTGGTACCACTCTATCTCATCATTCCCATCACAGTGATATTCATGAGCTTCAGGAGATCAGTGAGAATAGTGAAAGTGAAACTGATGGCCATACGAGTTCTGGAAACAGCTGGAAGGAATACAGGATGACTGTGTCTACAAATTCTGACAGCGAGTGTAGCACCATTCCTGATGCTAGAACTCCTGATCGAGACATGCTACAGTGTAGTACAGAGCACTATAGTTTGTCAGATGGATTTAGCACACAGTCTCCTAGTAGCTGTACTCAGGAATATACGTATTCGTATCCTGCAAAATTAAGTGGGAGTGTTCGGAGTGGAGGATCCGATTATTCTGAGCATGAAGAGTATAATTTCAGCAGACAAAACAGTGGGTATAGTGATGTCAGTGTTAGTAGTTCTGTGAGAGACAGTGAAAGGTCACACCGTAAGTCAAACTTCGACAGATATGACGCTCACAGGAGCTCAGATTTGTCCAATATTAGTAGTGCTTGTGAAGGGGAACCGCAGAATTCTTTGTCGGATAGTGGAAGTGATCTTTTCCAAAGGAATGATGCTCTGAGGCAGTCAGACATGTCTGATACCAGTGGAATAAGTGATACCAATGGATTACCCAATGAACTTCCAGAGGCGATGATTATTAAAAATATCAAAAATGTTGAGCCAGTGCCAAATGAGTCAGGATTTCATTCTGAGGTGACTTCATCAAATCAAAGTGATGCTAGCCAACAGAGCATTGATGTGACTAAACTTGGACATAAGGAGTTAGCTCTTCGCATTAATGCAGATGTTGAGAATTATAGGGAAAAGTTAGAACATGTCCAAAGAGAAAGTCTTGCTTCATCCAGACAAGAGGCAATGGCTTTACGTAAAGAATTCCATAGTTCACAAAAAATCAGTGCACCTGCTCTTCAGCAAACAATTGGACATTCTAGTGATGACAGAAGTGAAGTTGGAAGACATATGCCTTTTGAAGGCAAAAGACCACCACCTCCCATTCCCAAGAAACCAAAATCATTTCAACCTTACACAGAAAACCTTTCCTCAAACTCACCTCAAAGTGCCAATGTGAACAATACTCACCCATCGCCAGCTCAAGATTTCAATAATGTGAACTCAATAGTGTCCAGAATCAACTCTTTAACTGTGCAACAAAATGTCCAGTCAAGCAATATCTCAGCTTTCACTAGCTCATCGCCAAAACAACTTTTTTCTTCCATGAAGAATAATAATCAGACAGTGGACAAGGCGTCATTACAAAACCTTGCAAGAGGTAGTGTCACTAGAGATGCCTCTTCTTTTCTCAATTCCATCAATTCTCAAAACCATCAAAGGCCAGACAGTAAAATGAGTGTGAGCTCTTCTGCTTCTTCTATAGTGACAGTGATTCATAGCCCTAACAATCCAGTGAAAATTCCCCCATCAAACAACAGACTAACACAATCACCTTCACCGATGCATAATAGTCAAACAAGTACTCCTGAGATTCCTGAATCTCCTGTCAGTGGAGGAGGAAATGGTCATCCTTTACATGATAATAGTTTTAACAGCTCTCATGGATCCACAAGAGGAACTAGTCCAAAGTCCATTCTGAATTCTTCGCCGAGCTGCTTACGAGAAAAGAACAAGAAACCCAAAAAGAGAGTGAGCTTCTCAGATTCTGAACCCAGTGATTTGGACTCCTCCAGCACACAAAACTCGAATAGAGCTAGTCCTGTAACCCCCATACAGTTTCCTATTAATCCAGCAGACAGATTTAAACCTAACAATATCATTGGCTCAAAACAACCCATTCGTATAGCAGGGAATCATATCAGTGAAACACCTAACCAATATCCACCAATGAAAACTTTTGGAAATGGAAGCGTTCCTACGGCAATGGAAAGCTTCTACATGAATGGTACAGTGAGAGGTGGAGTGGTTGTAAACGGAAATCAAAACCCCAGTGCAATGGAGCTCAGAAATAGTGCTCTTCCTACCTACAAAGCTAACCTGGGTCAGACCGGGGTCAATCCTGGTGGACCCGGGACGCGGACCTCGGACCAGATTAGACAGTTGTACTTGGGAAGGGGTAGGAAGACTCAAGTATTGCAGTCATCAAAGTGCTAACTCTTCTGTGATCTTTTTACTTTTCAGATAAACTGTGGAGTTTTAATTTTTAATGCATGTATTTTTTGTGATATTTCTATGCTCACATGACATGTATTTTGATTGAAACTAGAAATTTGCTAAGCATTTATTTTTAAATTATATATGGGGTACTATTATATTTTTATCTCATGCAATGGCAAAAAAAAAATACAAGTAATTTAAATCTTTTTTTTTAAATGAAAATATGATGAAAAGAAGTAGATCTGAATTGCATTTTTTTTGTATTGTTTCTTATTGTCCAATGCATTTCACATTCCATTTTCATTCCAAAAATATTTCACTTATTTATATCTAATAAATATACTTATGTTGTACATATATTTACTTCCAAACAAGGCTCATTGTACATGCTTGTATATATATAAATGACCATCCTTTACTGTAGCAATATCACTATGCATTTTATTTAACATTGTGGAGTGGCCTGACTAAAGAAAGGGCTACTGAATATAATACAATAAAATATTCTAATAAAACAAAATTGTGTCATTATGTCTTATACATAATATCCGATAGAAGCAGATTTGAGTTCACATTGAATACACATATATTCAGTGCAAGAAGAGGCTGAAATAGGCAGAGGGAATTAAATATGGATGTTATACAACTTAGTACAAAGCATTGTGAAAGGATTGTTCACGGATATAAATGGCTTGATAGAGAAAAATATCTGTATATTTAAAAGTGTTGTCCAATGACCATTTATAATGCATGAAACAGATTTTGAGGGAACAACACAATGTAAGGTATTTTCCTCTCAATGCTTAAAACAAATAGACCAAGTTGTCATGTCCCTTTACACGAACAAAAATTCCTTTTTTTTTTTTTTAATTAGTCATTCCAAACTGAAAGATTGTACACTGCATATATATTGGACCTTAATTTTTTTGAAAAAAAAAAAAAATCTTTGTGAAAGGCCCCGAGATGCTCCAGATGACATAAGCAATACTTATTCCTCTGAGTTTCTCGATAGGAATTACAGCTATGGGTGCAGAGGCGAATACTCCCATAAAAATTATCAGAGCAGATCAAATGAAATGCAAGTATGATCTGTAATTCTGCATTTGATACTTTTTCTGCTTCAATTATTGAAATTCAACAACAGGCTAGAGTTGTTTCCCCTCTATTTTCTACAAACTTCAATTTGGAAATCAGATATTCAAGAAAATGTAAAGTGGTATTTCAATTAATTTTATTTTCTATTTTTAACAAAATCAGCTGCAGCAGTTTGTAATTTACCCATATAAAAAAGCAATACAAAACCAAGAAAAGGTTTTTACCTTAAAAAATTGGTCTACTGTGTTCTACTCTGAAATAACAAAATCAAAAACATTCTACATGCAGATTTTCATAGGAAATCTGGCTCATACAAAAAAAAAATGAACAAGATTGAGAGAAAAACAAAAAACTAATAATCAACCAACAAAAAAAAACACTATTTTAATTAGTATTACCCTAATATTTAAAAAAATGTTAATACATATATCTTGATAGAATCAGCAGGCACCTAGAAGAATAAGGTAATGGTATACCATAGTCAACATTATTTGGTTATAACAGTTAATATTAGGTTTTGTTTGTCCTCATCTTTTCATAGGGTGCATAAATTTGAAGTAACTTTTATTATCATAAATTAGCAATGCACCAATTATAGGAACAAATATTCATCAAACCCCACCCCCTCTGCATCACCCTAAAATGATAATAAAAATAATTATCAATTTGTGCCTTTTTATGCGACGAAATTACCCCCCCTTAAAAAATAAACTGATACAGAGAGCAGTCAGTCTATACACCTTCATGGGACAAAAGAAGGAATTTACAGATTCTGAATATGTATCACAAAGAACTACCGGTACATGTAAATGATTCTGATATGATGCAGATCCGATGATATATATATAAATGAAGTACAGTGGACCTTCAGATATCCGGATGCTAGATATCCGGATGCTTCAGTATCCGGATGACTTTTCATCGGAACAGAATTTCTAATGTTACATTGTCTTGTTTCACTGGTAATTCAGATATCCCGACGCTTCACATATCCGGACAAATTAACAAGGAACCAATGCGTCCGGATAAATGAGGCTCCACTGTAATTCAAAGAATGTGACTATAATAACTAAATTATGCTGATCTGCAACAAATATTGCCATGAGTAGTAAGTCTTCAAATAAAAAAAATTCAGTTATTTTTTTCAGATCCACTAATATAAACAAAATGGAGGCAAACAAAGCATCTCTATCTACATAATCAAAGATAAACATACAAAATTGGACAGACTAAGAGCATTTGTTAAGTTAGGATTAGTCAATGTACATGTATAAATAATATGGACAGCTGTTTATGTTTACATACAGTCATGTAAAAAGGGGGGAAAATCTTCAAAAAAGACATATAATAATCAAACAAGAAAAACTATTCCCATACTGAAAATTAAATATTGTAAAATTTTAATTATGCCGCCTCCCAAAATCTCATTGCAATGTTGTCCCTAAGATCAAGGTGTCGGGGAATTTCCCCCAATTAAAATTACATAATCCTCCACTTATTCTTGTATTCCCCCTCAGTCCACCTTAGGGGAGGACCTCCAGACCCCCTTCAATTTTTTAATGTTCTTTGCTTTTTCAAACCTTAGGGACAACCCTGCAATGAAAGGAAAAAATAAAGAATAAATTATGCAATTCTTATACCATCAGATTTGTTTTGGTATAATATCATAATATCAAGAAGTACAAACTGTATACCTTTTAATTTAAAAACAGATTAATACACAAGTTTTAGAGGATGTACATAAAACAAAGAATGTTCTTATATGATTAGAATATGTTCTCAAAAAGAAAAAAAAAGAAATATACAGTAAAGTTCTAGAATAATTTTCCATGTACATTTTGATTTGTAGTTCAGATACTTTAATGTATGTCGTTATGTACTAGCTAGTACAATCAAAGACACTGACACCTTATTTAAACTATCATGATATCATCTCTTCTCTCTCTTTCACTCACACACACAGAATGATAACAACAACAAAGGGCACATTTCTTCTTGCATGCTTTCTTCAGATATACACACATCAAACTAGAATTCTATGCACTTACCCCGGTATTCATAATCAAAATGATATGTACATTAATAACGAAGAAATTTTGGAAAATCTATCAAAGAAATAAACTCACTTAACTACAATCAACCACTCCTGTTAAAAAAGCTCACATCTCACAGAACCAGCAATGCACTCTAACTGTTCCTACATTGCATAATCTTTCAATACAGCAAAAGTTTACATCTGTTATTCTAATTTATTGAAAAAAACAGCCATTTTTCTATGTCATATCATTGACAGTCTTTGGATGTATAATTAAATAATTCAATTCCATGAGATCCAAGAGTTTCATTCTACCTTTTGATTGGTTGTTCCATGAATGTATAAAGACAATTTGGACCAATCATATCACTTCATAAGAACTAGTCGCCCCACTCTGACCTTTCATTGGATAACCTCCCAATGTAGAAACAATTTACAGCAATCATTTGCATAACTCTACCAAATATGATGTCTTTGGGATAGAAATTCCTCACCAGGTTAAATGGGAATGTGTTCAGAATTGTTACACCTTGACTCTCGTAGAACAAGTTGCTGGTCATTTGAGTAAACATGAACACGACGGCCAGCTTCACCGTCAGGGGAGATTTCCAGGGAGTTATTTTTTCTTCCAGGAATTCGTAAGTAGGCCAATCGTATTCACGCTAGGAGAAAAAGCAGTATATTAATTCAAAATCTTACTATCATGATTTCACCTTCATTTTACAATTAACTTTTAAAATACAGTCAAACCTTGTTATCCAAATGAACTCAGTGAGACTGAACCTTAAGAGATATTTACAAAGAGTTGAGGTATCAAGGGTAAAACACTTAAAGAATCAGTGGTTGTGATTCCAATTCAGTTCAAAATATACTTGGTATTTGAAATACCAGTGGTCCAGAAACTGAAGTTTAACTGTAAACTTTATTTAAAATGTGTATATTGCTTAACGCTTTAGAAATAAAATGATCCTCCAAGATATAATTTTTAAAACATTTTATCATTCACATTTTCTGTATTGATTAGATAGACTGACTATAATGATGATTATACCTGCAGCTCATCTATTCTGTTCAAGCTTTCTACTATGTACAGAATGCTATAAAGCCGAACACCAAGAGTCAACAGGAAAAATGGACGCAAAAACTTCATCAGAAATCCAATGGCCAGGCCTGCACTATCTATTAAAAGTATAACATCCAAGACAATAAAACATTTCTCTTTGTAGTAGTGTTGGCAACGAGTACCCGGTTAACTGGTTAACCGTCGAACGATGCGAGTATAGGTTAGTAAAACTGCTATTCGGTCACTCGCATGAAAAAAAAAATCTACAAAGTAAATGCATATAAAATGATTGTTTTATAATTTATAAATGTATATACTTACACATTTCCCTAATTTTAGTTAACGTTAGACTTGATCTAATACATGGTTGCAGTGGATCAAATTGTTTTGATTAGTTTTCACAGTTTATATAATTAATAGCTTTGATTGCTTGGGGGTATACAACTTTTGAAGGCCTGAGTTATGAGTACCTCATTTGATAATTTAACGAGATGCCGCCTCAGACAAATTAATTATTGGAGTGTAACTGTAAGAAAGAACAGTTGATTCAAAATCTCAACAAATTAAGTATTAATTACGGAGTATGTAGATAATTATTATTCTCCTTGATAGCGACATATTTCGGGGGCTGAAAAGGAAAGCATAAGGAAAGCAATTGTGAGACAGTGATTGACGATGTCTTTATTTGTCTTCTTCGTGTGTCAAATTTCTTATTTTCTTTAATCTAAAATCAAAATTTGTTGACAATATCGCATGTGTGTATTGTAAATATAATGTCCATATACAGTATATTTGTGTATTACTACCACCGATAAGTAAAGCATAAGATAAATAAAAGATATTGATACTTTTACGAAAAATCATCCGAGTAACCGGGTACTCGATCGGAAGATGAAGCGAGTAACTGGTTACTAAAAATCGTCCGATTTGCCAACACTACTTTGTAGGATAAAAGCACAAATTTACGTAGAAATAAACTTTCATTTACCTAATCCTATTTAAGGTAAATACATTTTAACTTACCCACTGTGCTATTGAAGATGAACAATCCCAGATGAAACATGGACTGTTTGGGATCATACCTACAAAAGAAATAAGAGTATAAGAATATACACAAATGACATGCTTTACTCCTACAAAATCTTCTTGGATTCAATATGAAAATTTTCTTCCTATGTACACAGAAAAATGTCTTCACAATTACTCTTCCCATGTACACAAAATGTTTTCTTTTTACAACAGAGTCTGTAGAAAACTTGTGTAAAGTCTCAAGAAACATAGTCTGGGGAGAAGCGAGACTAGTATACCAGTAGTAGCTGATTTAAGTATACATTTGCATTGTAGCTTTATTTGTAAACTATATATTTATACCTCTAATAATTTACTATTAGCCTATTAATATATAATAAACCTTTTGGTCTGATACAATCCAGACAACTCTGTTATGCTACTTACTGAAACCAGGTGGATGGAGTTTTGAGAGGTGAGTTGATGAGAGTTGTCTCCTCTTTCATGGCAAACAGAATACACACTGTACACAAACAAGTAAAAGCTGCATCACATAGGATTCCATCCTGGGACATCCACATCATGTTGTGTACCGCTACACACATAATCAGCACTAAGAACACCAGTCTACAACACAGAGAAAATATATAAATGTACCGGTATATAATTCTTTCAAATTTATTAAGGTCTTCCGTCTTCACGGAAGACCTTATAGTGATTCTACTGTTTCTTATTATTATTATTATTATTATTATTCTTTTTATTATTTTTTTGACTTTCTAATTTTGTGCACACGATTTCTCGAAAACTACTGAGTGGAATGACGTGAAATTTTCAGAAAAGATGTGTCGTAATATGAATTTTATATATCCGGGAGATTTTTTGGAAATTCGCTTCCGGTGCCAAGCTATGGGACATTTCCTGATTTTAAAATGACATTTTGTCTTCGGATAATCTCAAGAACGGTAAAAGATATCGTTGTGAAACTTTTAGGGATTATAGATCGTGATATTCACTATCCAGGACGCGACCTTTCGTTCGTCGTCAGTACTTCCGGTCGTTACGACAAGCAAATTAAAAAAAATTGTATTTTCTAACTTTTTTGTTTTTCAATATTTTTTATATATAGACCCTTCTATTGATGCTTACTATATAAGTTTATTTGAATATTGGTTAGTCTTAACTCTAGATATTAATATTTGAAAATCTGAAGCGGGCCCAAGATGGCGGCTGTCTCTGTCAACTCCGCCATTTCGCGAGTAGGGGTTTATAGAGGCAGCTGAGCGTTTGATTAAACCATTCTGACATAAGGATACATGAAATGTGAAAAACTACGTGGACTCTCACGTAGTAGTACGTTGCAATTCAGTTTCAATCTCAAAACTTAATTTCCGTTTAACTGCTTTAGTGTAACTGAGCTAGATACGATATGTAATGTTTACAATGTGTTAAATATACTTTCTTAACATTAAAAAAAAATAAAGGAGATAAGACGTTTTATTTATTTAATTTCATTGAAGCTATCACACCTATTTAATAGATCAGTCCAAAGAAAAGACGTTTGGCGCGAAATTATGAATAGTGGCCCGCCTTTTATGATTCTTAGACAGGTGTACTGTTGCAAAAGTATACACAAGTATATTTAGAGCAGTATTCCCAATAGCTTAATGGTTTGCGCGTTGGGATAAAAGAGAAAAAAAAAGTGCATTCACGTTGGCGACCTGGGTTCAATCCTCCTTGTGACGAAAATTTTGAATCTCTTGTCAGGTCGATTTTACGAGGGTTTCTTTTTCCTGAATCGGACGGAAGACCTCTCGTTGCTCGCAACGAGATCATATCTAGTTAATCCTATTTTTCTTGCCCACAAATAGAGATTCCCAAAGAATTACTTTAAAATTGTATATATGCCTCTCAAACTGCCATAATATTTCTGGAAAAATGGGATGTGTATGTCAGTGGTTTTATATTTACATTGTCACTATAAGTTTAGAGTAAAATGTTTGCTTATTCTTCAGTGAATCAGATTTTTTACTACGTACATTCACATCAAGTAAGTCCAATAAACAACTGTAAAAGTTTTACTTACTGAGTTTGAGTCTGTACAATTATTTAAAAATTATTCAGAAGGAAAAATAAAATCTTATTAAAATTAAACATGCAGATTGCTCTATTTTCAGATTTTGAAATTTTATTATCATGCACTTACAAATAGTGAGTTGTGGAGCCAGTCGAATAAATCTCATATAGAAAGGATGCCATAAGCGCATAACAAGCCGCAGAAAATAAAATTATGATAAGCTAAAAAAGAAAAGATAGAATATAGCTTTGTTAACATTGTTAAAATTCCATAGTTAAAAATCAAACAATATTAGAAAATTTAATATTGATTTAAAAACACTTAACAAATGTAAAACTAATCCTTTGTATTCAAATATAAAATATAAAAACAACATGAAAATTCAGTACTGACACATTGCTCACAGAAGATGATTAAATTAACAGTAATATTAAAACCATCTATTTTAAATTACTTGTGATTTTTAAAAACATATTGCACCTGGCACTAGCTAGGAATTTACAATATTTAAATAACCCATAAATCATGAAGAATTTTGTCAATTTACCTTAAATAATGAGGAATCATCTTCTTGTATCCGATTACAAACACGCTGACTACACTGCATTTGGAAATTCACAGCAAGAATGATTTCTGAGATCATCAGAACAGGCCCAGTTATCCATAATATCTTGTCATACAACCAGATGACTGGCCATGGAATCAGGTTAACAGGCACATAATACACTATCAAAGCCCATAATCCAAAGCTAAGATATGGAACCACTAAATGCTAGAAAAATAATAAAAGAGTATTTCCTGAAAACATAATTAACCTATGCTATCATAATTGGCGACACAATGCACTTTAGTTTATTTCTGTTAAACTAGTATGAGTGCAGCAAGCTCTTATGACAACATTTATGAACATGATGAAAAGAGGAAATAGTGTCGAAATCAACACAGCATCCTGCTTCCTTTAATAACCCATTTAGGCATTTTCACTTCTGTCAATTCTGTTTACATAATCAGTGTTTTTTATTTATCAATAGAAAGTTGCTTTTAATCTATGAGCAGATAACAGCGAGCGCAGCAAGCGTCGCAAAGCGACGCTCGTAACTCCGAGCTCTAACAACAACGCCTGGGCAAAGAGAAAATTCGGACTACTGCACATTCATTTGATAGAATTTTTTGACGCAGTAATTTGGACCCACAATGCATCGCTTTGTATACAACGCTAAAGCAACGTTCTCACGAGAATAAGAACAAAAGTTATAAAATGAAATAATAAATTTGCCTTGATTTAATGAATTTGTTGCTGAAAAATAGTCAATAATTAAACGATTCCTTATTAAAATTCAGGCTTTGGTTTGGTAAAGCAACATGCATACGACGTCATGTGACGTCAGAGTCTTACACGCACCGAATGTCACGTGCGGTTTGACTAGCCCGATCTAAATAAAAACTGGATAAGTATCTGAGATCGCCCTAACGGTCGCGCCGTCAATATTACACTTGTACAATGTACTTGAAACATTACAGATCACCAGATGGCTATTTTGTATTTTCGTTTCTTACCAACGATTTTGGAACCATTTCTCCTGCGATGACATAAATAAACAAGAGAATAGATATTCGTAAAATGAGATCAATTCCACAGAATGAGCCATAAACTGGCACTGTCACTACCCAAAGATAGGGTATAAACTCAATCAGCCACAAAATCATATTGGTAAACAGATGATGCAGACAAACATTTTACAAAAAAATCAAATCGGATGTCAGCGAATGCAAATAATGTATAAAACTAATCCCTTTGCTTTGTAAATTCCGAAAAAAAAAAAAAAATTATTACGTGAAACAGAAAAATCATGAGAAAAAAGAATACAAATAAAAATTCCAGTTATTATGAATGTAAAATTTTTAATGACGATTGAATGAAAAATTATTGGACAGAGCATGATTTTTTTTTCCATTTCCGGAAGTTTTACTCAGCAAGGTTTTTTAATCTAGTTTTTTGGCGGGAAAAGATAAATGCATTTTCCCAGCACGAACACCTTGAGACATTCCTTTGTTACCAACGATGAAGGCATATATTCAATGAGGTAAACTGTAGGTAGTTTTAAGTTGAAAATATGTTTCGCTCTTAAAATTGTACATTAAATTTCAGAGATGTTCTTTGAAATATCAAATCTGCAATTATTATAGGCCCTAATATTTCCAGGGAAAAGGGGATAACAAGCATGGACTCTGACAGTGAAACCTCAATCGTTAGTGGAACAACAAAGCACAGTGGAAACAACTCCCCAGATCTGACATTCAGCTTGTAAGAAAACTTTGTGATCCCACTTTTTTTCCTCTTCAATATTAATTAATCATGAATAGATCTATATACCTTATTAACATGTTCTTTTTGAAAAAATATTATTATTTTGATTTTAACTTTCCAGTCTAAATATGACAGGAAACAGGGTTCCTGAAGAGGAAGTTGGTGCTTGCGGTGGTATGTAAAAAAATAAAAATATTTTTCAACATCTTCGCTAGCCAACTGGCAAGGGTTTCTCAATTCTGATATGCTGCTCTCCTCGTAAACCCAAGGGTTTATGAGGAGAGTACCGTATCAGAAACCTTTGGCTAGCGAAGATGATTTTTCAAATGAGGGCAAGTTTGTGATATTTTTAACCAGGAGACTGACACAAGTGAAAAAATTCTAAAATTAACCTGCAATGAGGGTCAGGCCTTCATCTTTCACTTCAGTATCCTGCCATTCCCCTCCTCTCTTAATAAACCCTTGTAAGATAAAAACTTGCTGTCTTCAGCACTTGCATGTAGCACCACTTTTTAAAAAAACCTAACTGAACATTCATAGTATTGATTTTTTTTATATTTACAGATGCCAATTCTCCTATAATTCCCATAGGAAGATCAAAATTTCGTAATGTAATTGAGGACCCTGTGTACTGCAGTGTAAGTAAAAAGTAATTGTATAATTTATGCAATTCTGTTTCCTAGCCAAGCATTTACAGTCCCCTCTAATCCATTTAAAAGATGAGCAAAGATGTGACCAACCAAGAATCCATATCTTTTTTTACAAAACATTTTTTATTGCATAAATTTTATTGTCAATTATGTAAAACTTAGCCCTTGAAGAAGAAAAGGCTGGCCATACCTGATGAGGAATCAGACTCAGAATCATGCATTTCCCAGTCCATCCTTATAAACTACAGACAGAAGGCTTTTACACAAGCTATAACATGTGAGGCTCAAGATGGGGAACCAGTTGATTGTCCAGTGTCACAGAATAAAACAGGAGGACATGACGATTCTAACTCTGTCAAGCATGTAATGTACATGTATACAATAAACTGCTAGGGATGACCAGATCAGACCAATTTTGATTTATAAATTGTTATAAATGTTGTATTTTTATATTTGTTATGTTCATATGTTTAAATATATATAGGAAATAAAAATTGATCACTTTATTCTCTAACCCATATATTACTGTAAGATGTGGTTGTAAACATAATAGTTTTCTTTAAGGTACGTGTCACTGTGAAAATTTTTATATTTGGTTTATATATGCTAAAAAAAAAATGACCCAGAGTTCTTCTGTTAGATAAAATACAAATATTTTGAATAGGAAACACATAAAATTAATTTTAAAGTGTAATTTATTTGTAAATTTGTTAATATTTGATTACAATTTTTTTTAACCTTGGTAATAGGAATTTTTTTGTATTTCAGTTAGAAAATATGGATGTTTGTTCACACGATTCAGATGTAACCAGACTTAACTCTCCAAATAATACACAATTAGAACATGAAAATCAAAGGTATAAAAGTACTGTGACTACTATCATACATGAATTATAAAATGAACAGTCTCCACCCCTCACCCACCCAAAAAAGACTTTTGCAGATTTTCCTTAAAATATTTCACCTTTCAATGGATGGCTCTTTATTTAGTGTATCTCGTTTTTTGTTTCTGTATTTCATATGAAGATATTTTTAGAGAGACAGAAAAGATAAGAGGGGGAGAACAGGACAGAACAAAACAGGGTGAAGATGAGACATGTGATATTCAGATTTCCCAGTATGGAGGATCACAGCTTTTGTTTCCTGATACCCAGAGTTCTACTAAAAGTTTGGGTACAGCAGCAAATTTTATTTTTTATCAAACACACTGTAGTTGATCCCAGATGTAAAATTAGATTTGGGAGGAGGGATCAATCTAGGGACCAAATAAACTGTTTTGACTTTCTCTCTTCTCTTTCTTTGCATTTACTTTTGAAGCTTGGTTACGGTATACCTTTTAGGTATATGAAAGAGAAGTTTAAAATTTATAGACATGGATAATGATTTATATTAGGTCAAAATTGCAAGTTTCTTAATTTTACTCATAGGAGGATCACAGCTTTTGTTTCCTGATACCCAGAGTTCTACTAAAAGTTTGGGTACAGCAGCAAATTTTATTTTTTATCAAACACACTGTAGTTGATCCCAGATGTAAAATTAGATTTGGGAGGAGGGATCAATCTAGGGACCAAATAAACTGTTTTGACTTTCTCTCTTCTCTTTCTTTGCATCTACTTTTGAAGCTTGGTTATACCTTTTAGGTATATGAAAGAGAAGTTTAATACCGGTATCTATAGACATGGATAATGATTTATATTAGGTCAAAATTGCAAGTTTCTTAATTTTACTCATAGGAGTAATAATGGTTATATATGCAGCTATCAAAGGATTAAAAAAATTGTTTACATAATAAATATTTTACGCAGTTGAAATTTGTTTATGATTTTTATTTCAGAAAAGCAAGTAATCCAGTGTTCCCAGACATCAAGTGACATGTCAACAGCTTCCAGTAAGCTCAAGAATCTGGATAGCAACTTGGTAGGAATGTGCATTTTAATTTGTGTACAAAATTAAGATGAATTCAAAATGAATTAATAGATTGTATCTGATTTCTTTGCAATGTCGGGAAAAACACATCAATAAAACTTGTAAAAAAACTATTTTTATTGGTTTGTAATGTATGTGTTGCACTTTTAGAAGTTTAATAACAAATTAATTTCCTGTTTCAGACTAAAGAGCAAATGGTGGAGGCATTCCTGAAAATCAGAAAAATCCATACTCAAATCGAAAAGAATGTTAAAGACAAAAACATTAATGAAGATCACAGAGGTATTAATCATTTTAAAAAGTTATTTCCAACAATTTAAAAAGAAATGTAGGAGGGTATATCAGAATCACCTTGTCTCATGTCTGTCTGTCTGTAGACAAGATTTTGTCCATTATACCTTCTAGTAGACCTGGGAGTATTTTAGTTTTGATTAGTATTTATAGTTATATATGATGACTACATGTATTAAATCACAGGAATTTTAAGAATTATGGCACCATCACTCTTGTACCTAAATAACATGAAATAGGTAGTTTGCAGCGGCTGCATTTCATTTCCGGAATTTTTAGCAATTATCATTTTTTCATTTCCGACATTTTTTTGTTTTCATTTCCAACATTTTTTTGTTTTCATTTCCGACATTTTTCAAATACATATGTAGTACTTATAGTAACAGATTTGATAACTTTACTTATGAAAAATTGAAAGGAATAAATCATAAATAAATCATTGAAATCCAATTTTGTAAATCTATCAGTTAATTTGACATTAGTATGGTGCTGTCACTGACATTTAATTTAGTGCACATAAAATGCGGTGAAAAAGTTTTATGCTCATTGGACACTTTTATCTAGACTTAGTGCTACATGTATGTATATATGTATAGATTTTTTTTATTATCTTTTATTAATACATGTATTTTGGTAAATACTTTTAAAATTCCATTTTCTTTGACTTAGAAAACATTGAATTGCTGCACAGGTAAATTCCGGAAATGAAAAAAAAATTATGTCGGAAATGAAAACAAAAAATGTCGGAAATGAAATTAAAAAATGTCGGAAATGCTATGCATATTTCCGGAAATGAAATGCAGCGTTTGCAGCATTTCAGTAGTTATAAATAAACAATTACCAAGGAGGGTTTTTTTAATATAAAAAAGAAATTGCATATTTACAAACTTATTGCAAAAAGTTATGGACCAGTTATGAAAATTATAACCAGCCATGATCTTTCTGAACCATCATCATCCCTTTTAACAGAAGTAACTATTCATCCGTATGCTTTATTTCCAGAGATATTTGAATGACTTTCATCATAATGGTCATTAATTTTTTAGAAAGCTTTGAGAAAAAGTTAGCTGTAGTGCACAAGTCCTTGAAGAACATCAGTGAGAAAATGAGTTATGAAAAGGTCAAAATAACATTTGATGTGAAGCATTCGGTGAAAACCATAGAATCCAGAAACAAACTCCGAGAACAGATGAAGGATCTAACACAGAGGCAGAGTACCTTAAAGGAGTTGTTAGTGAAGCAAGCCGAGTTGACAAAACACTTAAAGCTAAACCCAGGCAATCTAACAGAAGGCCTGTCTCAGGAACTGAAAACAAAGGATAAGTCTAAAGCTTTTTCAAGTAAAGTTAATGACTGGATGAACAAAAAACAGGTTCCAAAGAGGAGAAATTCTCTAAAAGAATCTTCCAGTGTCCCTAAAACCAGTTCAGCAGTTGAAGAGTGCTCCAGTGGTGTGAAGGCAGTTTGGACAGTACCAAGAGAGAGGTCTGAAACAAAAAATACAGGAAATACTCAGGTATAAAAGAGCTTTCTTATTATTCAGCTTCTCGAGTTGTCTCCCTTTAAATGTGTTTTATTTTTTTCCTTGTCAAATTCACTGGCTCACATGAGAGAGAGAGAGAAATTATAAAGCCAGTTGTAGTTGGAATAGTATAAATGAATATTTGCCTTTAGTATGTATTTGCTGAATATTACTGACAGACTTTTGACTTTAAAGGTCACAATTTAAATTTAAGACTGCAGATTTGATTTTTTTAGGTTACTCAACCTAAGATAATACCAGCAGTACCACAGAATGCTAATATCCAGGAAAAGACTTCAAATGTGAAGCAACCAGTAGTTTCCAGAAATAAAGTCCAAGTCCATAGAACCCAGCCGCCGTCAGGTGTAAATCCTCCAACAGTCATTTATTTGTATCCCCAACTCCCAAACAGCAGTCTTTTATCCAACAAAGGAAAAACAAATACAGGAATAATGTCACAAACACAAAACACAGTGACAGTTCCTACTCCTCTATTCTCTCCAAGTAGTACAAGGAATTCAGCTCAAATGAAGACTTCATCCCAAACGTTTCGGAGACCATCAGAAATCATAAAATCACCACCTCTATTCAACCCAGACTCTTTTCTAAAAAAAACTCTGAAATCTCCCCCAGTTCAGCCTAAAAATAAATCCTCCTTCAAGTCGCCTCCCATTTCTCTCCTGAGGTCTGTGGAGGATAAGAACATCTCCCCCAGCACTGTGTGTTCCAGTGACGTGTTTCCTGTGTCTTGTAGAGAGCTCGGTCGGAGGATACAGGAAAGGATCGCAAGTCAAAGAGAGGCTGAATCCCAAAGAGAGGCTGAATCTCAACAAGTCTCCCAAATGTCTGCCACTTCAGAAGGAAGGAGAAGTGGAGATGTGATTTCTGAAGGGAAAGATTTGGATGGAGGGTATAGACAAGAAACTCAAAGGAAAGCTGTTTTAGTCAAAAACCAAGCACAGGCTGACTCAGGAGCCAAATCAAATGCTGCAAACATATGTATAACCTTGGTAAATGATCTTATAACTTTTCACAATGCTTTGGGTTTTCTTTCATTTTGAATATTATCCATACTGTTAGAATAAAATTCTCAAATCATTTTAGGAAGAAGGTGACAGTGAGTCAAGATATGAAAAGTTTGGTGGCCTAAAATTTCCTTCTCTAAAATCTCTGATAGATTTAGCCATACTGTTCCCTGCAGAGGATATTCTGACTGTTCAGCATTCGGGGAGAGTCTTCACAGCATCCCTAACTAATCAGGGTTACATTGAGAGCAGGGGTGGGGAGATCTTCACCACTCCAATGAGATGGCTCAGTGCTGTGAAGGCAGGGGAGATAATAAAGAAAGCACAAGCATACAGAGAGGTAAATACAATATAGACAACCATTTCCACATGTACATACATGCATTAAAATTAAGTAAAGTTAAACCTCAGTATCTTGAATACCAATCTTTCAAATACCTTCGCTGGATATGTCCAAGTGATTTGGATGTATATGTACCAACCACTTGTTTTAATAAGTATTGAACAATCAATACATTGTATCTTGATTCCTTGGATATGTTTTTTCTTGATCCCATCAAGAAGGTTAGAAAATATACAGCAAAACTCGTTTAGTATGAACACGGATATAGTGAATTCACGGATATAGTGAAGTTTTTTTTTGGATCCCCAGCTTTAAAAATTTAACCAATTCCTTGGGCCATGCAAAGTTAATTACTTGGTTCTCAGGCCTTTTTTCAAGAAATATGATGAGGGAGGGAGGCATTTTTTTTTCTTTTTTATTGCCCCCAAAACATGATGAGGCAGCTTTTTACATTGTACAAAACCTCAAAAAATGATGAGGGAGGTGATTTGGTGTTTATATTTTATTGATTTAGCAATAAAAAGGGTCAATGAGGTACCCTTGGAAGAGACGAGGGAGGGCCTGAGAACCAAGAAATTAATTTTTTTTGCCTTATATGAGTATAACCAATTACGGATACATCGAAGTAATTTCATTGGTCCCAGTGAATTTGTTATAGCCAAGTTTTACTGTATACAAAATTGTTCTACTTTCAGGTTATGTATGATGGTCATTCACTCAAAAGTTATGTAGAGGGAGAACAGAAGACTTCCCTACAAAATATCCAAGGTACAAAAAACTGTTACAGCAAAGTAAATCTGTTATTTTACTTATTGGTATGATATTCTAAAAAATTCTCTCCAAATGTTCTTTTTAGCAAAAGCAAAATCTAACAACAACAAAAGCAATGAGATTGAAGTTCATCAGGAAATGGGCAATTTAGAGACTGAGAGGTGAGCTCAGCTACTTGTTTTACTAATGATGAGATGCCTGGGGAAAATTTCTAAAAGTACATTTACAAAGTTGGTTCACATTAGAGAGTTCATGTGTATTTAAAAAAGAACATTTTATTTTTTTAAGGCTCATGACTGATGAAGACCAACAGCTAGCTGATTTGCTTTTTCAATGTAAGATTCATTTGCTGGATGATTCAGACTTAGTTCCAATGGATGATCTTCCTGAGAATTTCTGGTGCAGTGATTTCAGTAGCGTTCACCTGTCTCGTAAATTCTGGAGTCAAGTTAATGATTGGGATGATTTAGTGCAACCTGCGTCACAATATTAAGCAAGTTCTCAATCTATAACATACACAAATTTATTAATTAAAATACAATTTATTTTTGTACATAAATATCACAGAAGGAAATTGAAAGACAATGGTAATTTCTACGAACGGTAATTTTTGGTGCTAAAATCTATGATCTTGAAGAATTAACACAAAACAGTTGTTTGAAAAACAATAAATTAAAAATATTAAATGCACCTAGTTCATTATTTGTCTCATATAATTGTTTATAAATGCCCTCATATTTTGTCGTATGGATTCACTAAGGCCATGTTGTAGCTGGAAGCACTCGGTTCATCATAGGTAGATAGGCAGATGTCAGGTACTCCCTCTGTCAGCTGGTCCCTGGAGAAATCGTACACCTGTATCCCTCCCCTGTATCTACAACACAGAAATATATATGTAGTAACCATTTTGTTCTTCTTTAAAATTGTATTCAATTAATGATTATTTATCCTTTTATTAATAATTACTTTCTATGGGTGATGTTCTCATATTCATCAACAACAGGGAATTTTGAAGATGGTACATTTCCAACTATTAGCTTGTCTTCTGAAAATTTACAGTGTCTAACAGGGTGTCTGCAAAACAAAAATACAGGTATACATACAGTGTTCTATTTAACATGTAATCAACTTCCCTGATTTTATTTTTGAGGTAAAAAAAACCAACTTTGATCAGTTTTGATAATTTGACTCAATATTGCATTTACTTCAATTCACAAAAGAAAATGGGTCAATTTTTACAACAAGAGGCCCAAGGGCCACAGCACTCACCTGAGCATATCGGGCTTGAATTTACTCCCCCACCCCCCCTCCAGGCGTTCATCATTTGAACAAACTAGAATCTACACTACCTGACGATGATTCCATATAAATATCACTAATCATAGCTTTGAAGTACTTGAAAAGAAGATTTTAAAAGGTTTCCCTATATATCCCTATGTAAAACTTGGGTCGGCAATTTTGGCCCCACCCTAGCCCCGGGGGTAATGATTTGAACAAACTTGAATCTACACTACCTGAGGATGATTCCACATGAGTTTCATCTTTCCTGGCCCAGTAGTTCTTGAGAAGGATTTTTAAAGATATTTCCTATATATTCCTATGTAAAACTTGGGTCGGCCATTTTGGCCCCACCCTTGCCCCGGGGGTCATGATTCGAACAAACTTGAATCTACACTACCTGAGGATGATTCCACATGAGTTTCATCTTTCTTGTCCTAGTGGTTCTTGAGGAGAAGATTTTTAAAGTTTTTTCCTATATATTCCTATGTAAAACTTGGGTCGGCCATTTTGGCCCCACCCTTGCCCCGGGGGTCATGATTTGAACAAACTTGAATCTACACTACCTGAGGATGATTCCACATGAGTTTCATCTTTCCTGTCCTAGTGGTTCTTGAGGAGAAGATTTTTAAAGTTTTTTCCTATATATTCCTATGTAAAACTAGGGTCGGCCATTTTGGCCCCACCCTTGCCCCGGGGGTCATGATTTGAACAAACTTGAATCTACACTACCTGAGGATGATTCCACATGAGTTTCATCTTTCCTGGCCCAATGGTACTTGAGAAGAAGATTTTTAAAGATTTTTCCTATATATTCCTATGTAAAACTTTGGTCGGCCATTTTGGCCCCACCCTTGCCCCGGGGGTCATGATTTGAACAAACTTGAATCTACACTACCTGAGGATGCTTCCACATGAGTTTCATCTTTCCTGGCCCAGTGGTTCTGGAGAAGAAGATTTTTAAAGATTTTTCCTATATATTCCTATGTAAAACTTTGATCGGCCATTTTGGGCCCACCCTTGCCCCGGAGGTCATGATTTGAACAAACTTGAATCTACACTACCTGAGGATGATTCCACATGAGTTTCATCTTTCTTGGCCCAGCGGTTCTGGAGGAGAAGATTTTTTAAAAATGCCATTAATTTTTTACTAATTCATGATTATCTCCCCTTGGAAAAGGGCGTGGCCCTTCATTTGAACAAACTTGAATCCCCTTCATCCAAGGATACTTTGTGTAAAGTTTGGTTGAAATTGGCCCAGTGGTTCTTGAGAAGAAGATGAAAATGTGAAAAGTTTACAACGACGACAACGACGACGACAACAACGACAGACAACGGACAAATTGTGATCAGAAAAGCTCACTTGAGCCTTTGGCTCAGGTGAGCTAAAAACTCTTACAATATATAATTTGAAAATTAAAATTTTGTAGACTAGTATAATCTTAATACAGATACTGTGTTTATTCTAATGATAGAAAGTCTTTCTATTTACCATGTGAACTGTTTATAATACCTGCTGTGAATTTCCCAAAGTTTACGAGCCATGCGGAGGTCCCACACATAAACAAACCCCCCGAATCCTCCCGACACCACCTTCCAGTCGTCCATCTGTACTGAAGTGACCTCGTACATGTGACCCGTGAAGGAAGCTACAGGATTACTGGTTCTGATGTCATAAACTCGCACCCTGAAATTATCAACATACATGTAATTCATGAGCAATCAAACTCAAGTTATTTTCAAAATGGAACAAGTGCAATTTCAGATTTATTGATATAAGTACCATTGATTATAAGTTTGTCAATTTTTAAAAAATGGTTTTTATTTATGAATAAACAAAAATATGAAATAATTCAAGTATACAGCATTCAGATTTTGGAAACGTTGTTTGCCTCAAAGCAAGATTACCATTTCCCAAATTATTTTTTTGGATCTGATAAACACAATCATCAATCTTCGAACCTGATACTTCATGATAACACTGAATTGTTTATACACAATATATTGTACCTTCTATCTACGCTTCCAGTCACTATTTGATTGAGGGGACTGTTTCGTAAATTCATACACGATATTTCTCTGGTGTGTCCATACAAATCCTGTATCTCCCTCTTTGAATGAATGTCATACATCTTTACCTGGAAAAATAAGTTTGTGAAAAATTATTCATAAATATGTTATAAGAAATTTCCAAATATATTGTGACCTTTTTTTTCTCTCATGACCTTGACCTTAAAGTATGATGTTGTTTACAAACAAGGCCAACTATTGCACCAAAAAAAATTTTAAAAAATATAAAACACTTTTTTTGTGTATGACAGATAGACAGGACAATCACAATATGTCATAAATCACTATACCCCAATCAATTAGAATTACTAAAAGGGACCACAATTCTCAAAAATTTGCTTGATAACCCAAACCATACCTTCTGCTTCAGAGCAACTGCTAGAATATTACTTTCCTCAGATACATCAATGGCTGATATGTTCTGATCTATAATGTTATGTATCTCCGTACACTGGTGGTCTGGAGTCTCCATATTGTATAAAGAGACTTTAAACCATGTGGATACAGCAACATGTGGAGAGGCTGCTGATGGCTCAAACAGCTCAATATGCTGGACCTACAAGTAGGAGGAAAATGTCAACGAGATAAACATAGAAAAATAAATTCTGAGCATTTAAAAAAAAATAAACAAAGAAATAGGTTTCCCATGGCCCATTCATTTTATTTTTCATGGAAGAAAGATGAATGAATGCTAGTCCTGATCTTTGCATATTTTGATGACCATAGGAGGAAATACTGGGAGAATTTGATTTTTCACCCTCATAGCATTCAATGTCTTATCTTTCCACAAATTTTGCACAGGAAGGTCATCTTGATTTAGACCCATGTCAAATGCAGATCCCCCCCCCCCCCCTCAAAGCATATTTTACATATCCTTTTTTGTCAATAGTATTCTTACCCACTGTTGAACGTCTATTTGTTGTGTCTGGAATGAACCAGATTTCCTTTGGTGCATATGAACAAATGGCCCAGCAGCTGTTACCATGGTGTCTGACAGGTTTGATAAACACAGATGAGATATTTTTTTGGAATGGCTGTCAACAAATGTATAACAGGGCTGTGTCTGATTTCCCTGGAGTTGCCAAGCATCAACATTTCCTGGAGGTAAAAAAGAAAATGATTTTGTGATTGAAATTATTTACGGTAACATATACTGTACATGTACTCAATATAGATATTCATTAAAGTGATAACTGCTGCTAAAGCTGTATTCGCAATATATTTTCATGTATGTGAAGCTGATCAAAATACCACAAAAATCTTTCAAATACCTGAAATTAGCTAAAGCAAACCTTGTTGAAAGACAGCAGCTATCATATTTTTGGACGTGGCGACCTGGTTGACAAAGTTTGTAATGGTGCCTTCCTCTTCCTCCTCGTTTATAATGAGAGATGTGTTAGAAGGCTGCAGTATGAAGTCTTCTTCATTTTCTAGATCCCATACCTTGATATCTCCTTTTGTATACCTGAACAAAAGTAAAGAGATCAGCAAAATACAAATATTATCTGAAATGATAAAACTATCCTACTTTATCTGGTGCATCATATGACATAGCTTGAATAACTTTTTGCATCATATGACAGTGCTTGAAAGTCTCAAACTTAAGCTATGGCTGACTATTACTATTTGACCACTTTCCTTCTTCTCAAATAAATGAATGAAAAAGTGAGCAAACTCACATACCCTATGCTCCCCCAAAACTCGAAATGCAGAAATTCCCAGTTAAGAACGTTAGATCCTTATTTTTAAAATTCTGCATCATTTTTAAGTTCTAACATTAAATCTGAATTCTACAGCGCAAATTTAACTATATTCAATGAAAAAACAGCTATTAAATTCCATTCAATTAGAATTAAGCTAGGTACTATATTTTGTGGCGAAAGGATTTTTAGACGAAAATGATCAGCTTTTCGATTTTGAACTTTAACAGTACTGTTAATTTTGGATTCCTATTTTTCCATCCTGGTTGCACAAAAAGCTGTTTTTTGCAATTAAATGTGTTATGCTGGTTCTGAAATATCTATTAAATTATTTCTTATGAATTCTATCAACAAAGTGTGACAAATATAGTAAATATATTTTGAAAATCCGGGAAAAAAATTGAGCCAATTTTAACGTAAAATTGACACTTTTTTTAGTAATATCTGAAAAATTACATCCCCCGCTTTTGATGTTCTTTTCTAAATATTCAAGATAAATTTGGCCTATTTGCTTAAAATCAGAAAAAGTTTAAGACTTTAAAATAATTTTCTTGCTTATTAAATTTTCAATGCCAGAAAAATCACTTTTTATTAGTGCAGAAATGTCAAATAATTGATTGTGTGAAGCAATTTAAAACTTTTTCTTAGTCACAATTTTTAGGTGTCTTTTTTTAAATAAACTTAGAGTTCATTTTGTTTCATGCTTTAATTAGATAAAAACATTGGAGGGAAAACGTCAAAAATATTTTTAATTAAGACACAAATTTCAGTGCCAAAAGAAGCGTATTGACCCCCATTTTTTGATTTGAATTTTAATTAAGCTATACATGTAGAAACTAAAAATATACTTGGCAAAAAAAGTTAAAGACTTTAAATATCAGGATCGAATGTCGTAAAGATAAAGGAATCAGAATTTCCTGGTAATATGCACATCTATGCATTATGCCAAAATATCTGCAAAGTTTGATGAATTTCTGGGCAGCGGTTTATGAGAACTTGCGCTGACAAACTGTTCATCTCTATAATCAAGATATGGTCAAAAATATAAGTTGAAAAGTGCCTAAATTCCCAGAAAAATAAAGGAATCAGAATTTTCTTGTAATATGCACATCTACAAATTGTGTCCAAAATGTCTGCAAAGTTTGACGAAATTCTGTGCAAAGCTTTATGAGGAGTTGTGCTGACAAAAAAAAAGAGGACTGATGGACTGACACACTAATGGACAGGTCAAAAACATTATACCTCCAGCAACTTGTTGCGTGGGGTATAATAAGGTCCCATATTAAGATCCAGAGCTCCCAAATTTAAATACTTTAGTTAGTCAGTTATGTGGCCTTTAATTTTTACTCAACTTTTGCACAAGATAATTTAGACAAAAAAAATTATCACTACATACATAACAGAGAAATAAACTCCTCAGTGGAGGTGCTATTGATGCAAGTTTGTGATAAACATTGGTAAAGATTAGAGAGGTTCAAAAATTCAGCATTAAGAGCCTTACCCTGCAGCAACAACGTTGAGGTAAGAGTGTACAGAGCACAGAATTCCACCAGGTAGGTGCTGAAGTTGTCGGACATCTCCCTTCCTCTCCTGTAAGCATATCATTTCAATGGTTAATGCTTGATTTGTAGCTTCTCTCTTTTAACATAAATCTTATGAGAATACTTTAATATCCTTGTAAACATACTTCCAACTGTTTCTACTGAATTTGTTTCTGAATATACAATGAAATTACAGAGGGGGCTGTTGTGGTTTGAGGAAAAATATCTCTTCATGTGGATTTCATTTTGAGGTTGACAAAGTGCTGAGTTGTTAAACATTTGAAATACATGTAATATTTCATATGATATGGATTTGAGGGTCTCCTTATACCTGGCACAAAACTATAAAATTATGCCATCACCCCCACCACCTCCTGAAAATTACAAGGGATTTATTATTTAAAAACATTGAGGACCCTTCTGATTAAATTTGTGCAATTCTGTAGAGAAATACCTTCCAGTTTGAGAGAATACTCCTTTTTCTCATGATATTCTGCCTGACTATGTCTTTCCAGTTTATTTTTTCTATAGTAAAAACATCCTCTTCATATCCAAGATCGTGGCAAATCTTACACCATAAGAATTCATCTTCAGCCAGGCTTTTCCAACTCCTGCTGACCTGAGGAAAAAATTAGACACCTTCTCTGAGGATGTTATTTAATAAGAAGGGGTTTCCTTAAGAATTGAAATAGCAGGGGGCATTTAAAAGAGGTAGAAGGGTGTAGGTTTCCTCTCCTTACATGGCTAAGGGGAATTACAAGAATAACATGGGCTTGCTTTATTATAGTTGGAGAAACTCCCCTACCTTGGGTCTTAAGTAAAACCATGAACAAGTGTATCCTAGCTCTTCTCTGTTTTTTTCCCCAGTCATATTTAAGTTACAAGAAAAGAATATTAATTCAATATTTCTGACTTACCTGGGCACACCTGCATAAATCTGGCATACTAAGATGCTGGAATATTTTGATTCCTACTTCTCTTGGGATGGACAAGTCAAAGAATGGAATTTCGTTAATCTCATCCTGGAAAATAAAATAACTGTAACTACATTTACATCTATATACAATAAAACACAGTTATAGCTTTCAGCAAAGTGATTTTCATCACTCTTATGTATAAAGCATGGCGTGAACTTAACAGATGGATTACATTTTATAACAAATTAAAATTGTTGGTAATGGCACTTTGCTTTAAGTGTGTTTTACTGTTACATGTATAATTCTTTGACTTCTAGGTGAATCTACAGCATGCAGTAGCCTATTACACACACTGTTAAAAACACAAGAATTGCTTATCATGCAGATTACGACATTATATTGAAATATAAGATTCTACCAAGTCTGAAATAAATTTGTCCAATATTCTTTCTTTGCTTTTGCCCGATCCATCATTTACACTTTGTTTATTTGAGAATATATCTTTCAGTTTGAACTTCTTGACAGACTTGTCATTTGATTGTCGACCTTTAGGTCTCTTTAGACACTTTTCATTTATAACTGATTCTTTATTGCCAGTCTGTTGGTTCTCTAATTGAGGATTTTGTCCATCTTTTAACAGATTACACACAATGTTAAACGGATAATAAGCCACCTCCCGTTTACTGTTCAAACTATCATCATTCGGATTAGAGGTGATTATGTTATCATTTAACTTTATGTTGACACTTTTTGGTGGTGTTGCCACGTTATGATGTCTAGAACTTGAAGCTGAATTAGTCTCTTCATTACGATTCCTCTCTCCGTCCGCGTTTCCTCTATGTTGGTTGCTTTGTTTTCTGTTTACTTCCTCTTTCCATCTCTGTCTAAACACTTCTAAATCCTGTGTATTTGCCATTTGTAATCTCAGATATGTTGGTATCTCGATGACATTCCTTTTGGCTTTGCAAACGTTGAAAATACGACACTGTAAAATTCAATGTTTACATCCAAAGTATTTTCCTACGTTATGAAAATATCCGAGAAGTTACGAATGTTTTTACTATTCTTGTGTATTTCGAACCCGATCCTATTTTACCGCTATATTTGCAACTTTCAGATAAAATATTAAAATATACATACATTGAATATTTGAATAAACATGTACATTCATGTATAAAAGACATAAATGTCCTTTTTATTTTGCCTCCATTAACTTACGATTAAATATTTATCTAATAAATTTTCAAAGTTCATACTCCACATGACCTGGGAGGGTAGCATGACCTTAAAAAAATGTCAGATGGTCAAATTGAGGTTCCCTCAGAAGAATGCATAATTTTTCATGGCTATAATTTTTAATATCCTATAATGGAGCAACCTATTTTGAAGCTTGTTTAAGAATGTGTCAAGGCCTTGACCTATGACCATTTGACCAAGGTCACTGACAGAAAACAAAAAAATCAATCTTCAGTCCTCATCTTTCATACTTCACAAGTCCTTTGGGTGACATATGACTCATGATAAACTTAAAAACATTAACTGTATCAACTTTTATTTTTTAAAAACAAATTAATATACTATAAACATACATGTATATTTAAAAAAAAAAATTAAAATGTAACACACAGTTCTGAATTAATCGTATAATACATGTACACGTAAAAACAGCACTGTTGCAATTGGCTATAGCACTTCAACAAATTTAATATAAGAACTTAATGCAATTAATGACACATATCAAGTCCTAAAAATTTGTTCCTGTTATATTTTGTGACACACTGATGGGTTTCAAAGAAGACATGGCTGAACAGATACTGATAAACATATTCACAAAATTTTACAAAATCATGAAGAATGAACAAGATAAGCATGTCCTTATTTTGCTGTCATTATCTGCATCTATTTCATCTTAAAATATCAACTCAATATTAACATTGATGATCCATAGTTAAATTTTTCATGTTTTAAATTAGTTAAAGAGGAACTTTTAATTAACAAGTTGGCATAATATACACAAAATATACACATTGAAAATCGATAAAAAAAAGTACATAATTATTTGATCATAATTAGGTTGATAGTTGCTTAGCAAAATAATTATTAAGAGTGGAGATTAATACAGGTATCTATTGAACAATGTAAATGTCATTTTGCATTTATAAAATCACAAGTAACAACATACTAGACTGATTTGGCAAGATCATTATTAACAATGTTAATCAACACAATTTCAAAACAAACTTAATAATGTCATATTTTTTCATCACAATCATTAGGTGTTTAAGCAGACTTCTTCAGTTCTTTTTTGAGGGCCTCGAGATCAAAATACAGGTTACGATGTAGAAGTTCTGAGGCACACAGCAATCCCCCAAAGAGGGCCCCTGTCAAACCTGCTGACATGATGTCCTGACCTGTTTAAAGTAGGAAAGCAAATTATCAATTAGCTTCATTACTAATTCTTTAAAGATAAACTCAAATGAGGGAAATACTGGATTAAAAATTTTTTTTCTTTTACAATAAAATCTGCTTATACTAAATATAGTGATGTGTCTGGGATGTGCAATAAATGTAATTTGTTATATCCATAAGATTATAATGTATGTTTCAAAACTATAAGAATTGAAAATCACTTTGCTGTTCTGTTCTAAGCATGTTCCCTATAACTGTGTTTTACTGTTCATGAATACTTAAAGTTATAATCAAGTATACATTCTCAGAATGTATATTTAATTTACCGTAAGCAAAAAAATATTACATACATGATTTATCTTTTTCTCTACATAGGAGCAACATATAAATGATTATGTTGTTCATTAGAAATATTTAATGAGACTGATGAAATATGATTTATGTATCTGTATATTAAAATGTACTTACCTGTCAAGTATAGACCAGGGATATCTGTCTTGGCCCTCAGTTGTATGGAGGCCTCGGGTAGAAACCTACGCATGTTGTGATCCAGCCCGTACATTTCTCCATCTTGGAATCCCAGGTAGTATTTGTTACTCAGAGGCGTCCCTACGTCAAAGTACTCCACCTAAAATAAATGAAAATGTATAAACTTTAGGAAAAACTTAAAAACATCAAGAAAATGTAGATCTATTCCAGCATCTGAAATTCAGTCTGATAGTAAAAGAGGTAAACTTTGAATAGGGATTATTTTTGTGATCAGTGAAACTTCATAAAATTAACCTTCATGAGAAATTTTTTAAATCATAAGACCTTATATGATAACCTATATACATGTATGATATATTCAGTCAATCAGTTTTCTTTGTTTCCTAAAAGTTATCCATAGACAAACACTGACAGCTAATATTTCAAACTGTTTATTTCTTAAAAAAAGCACTGAAATCTCTGACCTTCCCCTCAATATTGGGGTATAACTTGGTGCAGGTGGCCAGCATCTTTTTTCCGATGACAGTTTTGAGGTCCTCGTAATCCTCCCCCCTGTGTTTGACTCGACCCTCCTCCCACTTCTTAAACCAGGAATACCTCGACAACGTAATCAACAGACAGGTGGACTTATCTGTAAAAAGAAATTACATGTACATGTATTAAATTTCTTCATGTATTGTTATCTCCCCTCACAAAGGAGTTGGATGGAATATAGTAGCATGCTTATGTGTGTGTTAGTTTGTCCTTGTGCAAAGCTGAAGTGAAGTAATTTGCATTGGGATTGATGTTAAATACTGCATTGATTTATATATTGCTCTTTATGAGGGTATGCTCCATACTGTTGTTCATGCAAATTGGCCATATTGCAGAGGTGAATAAGTAAAGCAGATTATGTGCATGAATATTCAAATACATGTACAATGTATTAAGACTCCAAGAAAATTATCTTATATATGTAAAATGAAAATTCATGTATGATGTAGACCAATTTTGCTATAGGCTCATAAATTTTCAATATTTTGTAGAAAGACAGTCAATCATGCAACCAGCCATACATTTTTCTGATGAAACAAAATGCGCTATGTGTGTTTGTTAAACCTTTTATTCAATCTTCATATACTGATCATGTAAGGAATATATGAAGGCTCGACTACCTGGATTTCTATCATGCCAGGTTGGGTCTTTGGCTGAAGGAAAGGAAACAAACATCAGTGGGACATCAGCCTCCTTCAGTTTGTCTAGCGGTAATGACAGGTAATCCTCAAATGTCTGCTCTAAATTGTGGCTGTAAAATAAAGAAGTGATGCCAAAGTTAACATTTTGCCTGAATTTAAGAGTATTTATTTTGTAGAAATTGATATTCTGGCACCTTAGGTACAATCATTTATAAATATCTATACAACTAACTAATATCCTACTCTTGGATGCATTAAACAGTCCCATATATCTTTTTTTGATAAATTTGAAAAGGGTTAAATCAGGTACACAGTACCACAGTAAAGAATGTCCATCATATGCAAATGAGTCTATGCTCATGATTAAGTTCACATGTAACTTTTTACTTGTTAAAGCTCCAGCAGTTGTGTGCCTGTATCCCCAGTTCTTCCTTGTTCCCACGTAGACCAATAAACACTGAGATGTAAGACAAACTATCTCCAACTTTGTTAATCATGGGGTATATGCCTGAAAAAATATTATTAAAAATATTCATGGTCATATACATATGTACTTAACTAGACTTATGCATGTAGTGACTACTTAATGTTAATCAGACACATATTTTTACCTTTTCTAAAAATACCATTTTTTGTGATTTTAAATTTTCCTCTGTTAATTAAGAGCCTTCAAATGTTGAAATGCCATGAATTTTACAATCAAAAACATCATAAATGTAGATTAATCTTTTCAACTGATTTTTTTTGTAAACAGATACTGACAAATGCTTGATTTTATTCAAATGTACTAGCTAGGGCACACTTATGCATAAATTTATTTTTATCATACATGTATACCATTTGAATTAACTGACAAGAAGAGGTGTGGAAGGAGCTAATATATAACTAATGCTATAATCATGACTTCAGTACACTCACAAGATTTTGTGGCCACTTCTTTAGGTAGCAGACGTAAAAATGTATTGGACACTCCTGCATCTGTTACGATTTGTGGTGCATATATTTCTACAGCATCTTCACCTTTCTTGACCTTTACACCTAAAAGATATAACAATAACAAATGTATGAGGTTACCCATACCTGTAATCAGTACAGCATCACAATTTCATCAAAATTATGTGTTTATATGGCTATCAACATTTCTCATTAGAAATGCATTTTTACCAACTGCTCTGCCTGAATTTACGATGATTTCCGATACAGGGGCATTGACCAGTACCTTGCCCCCCAGCTCTTCAATGATCTGTACCATCTGAAATGGGATCTCACTTGGGCCCCCTCTTATATAGTGCCCTCCCTTGAAATAGTGTCGCATCACAGTGGAATGGAGTCCAAATGATGCCTTTGAAGGTACAACACCTACAAGTAACACAATGATACATAAATATATGGAGATAGTTTTAGCTTTTGCGGGCTAATCTTTACAATATGTGCTCTAATAACTCATAGTTCATTATCAAACAAAAACAAAATTGTTAAGAAATAACAAAATTACCAAATTCAGAGAATGCATGTACAGATCAACCAATTCGACCCACTTATTAATGTTTTAGAAAATCTGAATTTATGCATTTATTTAATCATTACAGGACTTTTCTGGCACTCCTTAAAAACTTATAAAAATATTTGATTTCTAAATTAACAACTACTGCTAAATCTTCCCAATTATTTCACACCTCCCTTAATGCTTACCATAATCTCCAAAGATGTATGACAATGTCGCTTTAAGTTCCTCGTCATCAGTGATATCATCAAGGACCTGTTTCAGGGTGATTTTCCCGAATCGAACGTAGGACTTAAACATCAGGTTCATTAATCCAGTGGAGACTAACAGCCTGGCCACCCATTTAGGAACCAACTTCAGGACAAAGTATCCTTCAAAGAAGTTTTTAGACTCCTACAAAATTTGAGATCAATAAAATTATTTAAGGATTTATTGCTAATGAATTTATTGTACTAGTAAAAAATCTAGACTTCTTAAGTGTGACCACTGAATAACCTATTTGTACAATGTAGGTTGGAAAATATAATGTTAATTTTTAAGAATTCAAATTTTAATAATGAAAACCTTTCATTTTTTTTAATTTTTGTAAAATTTATCAATTAATGCTAGTACATGTAGCATCATAATGTAACTATATATTAATACCATTACATGTAGTATAACTGAAAAAAAAATTATGTGTATATAAACATTTTCTACCTTAAATAAGATTAAACCTTCAGAACGAATTCAGAACCTACCCTGAGAAGCCTATAAAATTTTTCAATAGCATCTTTTTCTTTTGGGAAACATTTGATGAGGTTTTCCTTGGTTTTCTGCTCCCCTGTCATAAAAGGATATTTCCTGACTTTTTCATGATGAGGATCCCCAATAGCAACCTGTAAATTACAGGGGATTTACACATGTATCATAATAATTGTGATCACTATAAGTGAATCACTCCTCAATTTTCCTCTATCTAATAAAACAGAATTAAAGGGAATTAACTCTTCCAATTCTGCTTTCAATGAAAAAAACATTTGTACAAAATCTAAAGGTGCATGGCCCAAAAAACTGATAAACTATAAAGTGCTTTTATTATCTTATCAAAAAAATAGTTTAGATATTGTTTGAATAATTTTTACAATTTATGGTAGAATCTGTTTAAATTTAGCTCCTTACAAAATCGTGGGGCAAACGGTAGATCACATTTAATTAGAATGAACAATGATAGTTTGGTTTATATCATACACTTATCCACTGGTTGTGAGAGGGATAGGCTTATCAAACGACAGGGAACATCCCCAAGGGCTTCGTCCTGTCAAGGGTTTGATAAAAGAGCTATCCCACTCACAACCAGTGGATCGTTTTATTATACTGATGTATAATATAATTTCTGAGGTTTGAATTTTTTGGTGTAAGATAATACTGCAAGAATAATCTGAAATCCTGATAACGTCACAATGCTACTGAAGTCATTATGACATCATCAGTCAATAGATTTATCGCTGGAAATCAAAATTGGCGGCAAAAATTGCATGAAAAAAGGGTGGATAAAAACTATACCCCGGGGTATAGCTTTGCTGTGCGTGAACTATAAAAGATAGTTATTTTACCTTCTTAACTTTATATGGAAAACATTTTAACAGAAGTATAATAATATATACTGTAATACATAGGGATGTCAATGAATAGTCGACTATTCGACTGTCAGTCAAATGGGCCGGTGATCAAATAATGAAACAACATTTGAATATTAAATAACTGCAAGAAAAGGGGGTGATAATGAAATTTTCATCTAAAATTTTAACAAGAGGCCCAGGGGCCACAGCGCTCACCTGAGCACATCAGCTAGGAAAAAACACATATCAGATCAGAACTGAAAGTTAACTCAAGTTGGGGGGGGGGGGGGGGGTGAATTTTAACCGCCAAGGGGATCATAATTTGAACGAACTAGAATCTACATTACCTGAGGATGATTCATACAAATATTACTAATCCTGGCTTTGAAGTACTTGAAAAGAAGATTTAAAAAGGATTCCCTATATATTTCTATGTAAAACTTTGGTTGGCCATTTTGGCCACACCCTTACACCGGGGTCATGACTTGAACAAACTTGAATCTACACTACCTGAGGATAATTTCACATGAGTTTCATCTTTCCTGTTTCAATGGTTCTTGAGAAGAAGATTTTGAAAGATTTTTCCTATATATTTCTATATAAAACTTTGATCGGCCATTTTGGCTCCGCCCTACCCACGAGGGTCATGACTTGAACAAATTTGAATCTACACTACCTGAGGATGATTCCACATGAGTTTCATTTTTCCTGGCCCAGTGGTTACAGAAGAAGATTTTGAAAGATTTTTCCTATATATTCCTATGTAAAACTTTGATCGGCCATTTTGGCCCCGCCCTACCCCCGTGGGTCATGACTTGAACAAACTTGAATCTACACTACCTGAGGATGATTCCTCATGAGTTTCATCTTTCCTGGCCCATTGGTTCTTGAGAAGAAGATTTTTAAATATTTTCCCTATATATTCCTATGTAAAACTTTGATCGGCCATTTTGGCCCCGCCCTACCCCCAGGGGTCATGACTTGAACAAACTTGAATCTACACTACCTGAGGATAATTTCACATGAGTTTCATCTTTCCTGTTTCAATGGTTCTTGAGAAGAAGATTTTGAAAGATTTTTCCTATATATTCCTATGTAAAACTTTGATCGGCCATTTTGGCCCCGCCCTACCCCCGGGGGTCATGACTTGAACAAACTTGAATCTACACTACCTGAGGATGATACCACATGAGTTTCATTTTTCCTGGCCCAGTGGTTCTTGAGAAGAAGATTTTGAAAAATTTTTCCTATATATTCCTATGTAAAACTTTGATCGGCCATTTTGGCCCCGCCCTACCCCCGGGGGTCATGACTTGAACAAACTTGAATCATTAAGTTTATAAATTATTTTACACTACCTGAGGATTGAAACATGAATCTTTCCTGGCCCAGTGGTTCTTGAGGAGAAGATTTTTTAAAAATGCCAATAATTTTTCTCTAAATCATGATTATCTCCCCTTGGAAAAGGGCGTGGCCCTTTATTTGAACAAACTTGCATCCCCTTCACCCAAGGATACTTTGTGCCAAATTCAAATCCAGTGGTTCTTGAGGAGAAGATGAAAATGTGAAAAGCACAACGACAACAGACAACGGACAAATTTTGATCAGAAAAGCTCACTTGAGCCTTCGGCTCAGGTGAGCTAAAAAGGGTTCTTGTTCAAACTAAACGGCTGTATAGTGTACATCCTCAGACAAATAAGAGCTCAAACACAGTCACAGTATATAAATAATTTCCACATTGTACACATAGAAAATACAGTAATTACATACCACAATAATTTTCAATCATTGACTTTTTTGTTATTGTACGTAGAAAATTACGCAATGATTTATTGGACTATGAAAATTATTTAATTGACATGTACCAATTATATTTATAAACTCTAGGAATTTCAAATGCTTAGGAATACACAGTACTTGCATAGTCGTGAAGTTTTAAAGTTTGATAATTATTAAAAGAATAATATTACATAAAAGACATTTTGATACTCAGTATATAGCTTGGGCAATCATTAATTGAACAAACAGTATTTAACATTTTCATCGGAGGTGTAGATAGTGTGTGTATACAATTTCCCATTTCCAATTTATTTCAATTTTCCAATTTATTTTAATTAATAAGCTTTCAAAAACACTGTGCTATAAAAAAAATAATAAATGCTCCGAAAAGTCGACTATCGTTTGAATAATGCAATGGAATGTTCAACTAAGGAAAATTAATATTTTGACCTCCCTAGTATTTTTATACAGCATGCACTATGATATAATTCGCAGGGCCTACCACATCATAAGCTTCGTCCATTCTGGGGTACTCCACTCTACCACCGGTCACCTGGTCCATCAACACTCGGTCATCATCATGTGGCTCCATCTTACCAATGTAGTGGACGCCTAGTAGTGTACAAAAGAGTTTAATAAATAATGCTTTTTTTTAACTGTATTTGAAAGGAAATAGAGAAATTTAAAATGAATTTCTATTCTCCATCATCTCAGATTATTATATCTACATGATAACATCAATCTGACTGATCAAATGATCACAATATTAAATTGTTTTCTCTAATGTCGCACCTGGTAAACATTTGTGTATCTTTCTTAATGTACTTCCAATACACCCTTACAGGCTTATAATGAAGTGTCAAGGACGAGCGATTTTTCTTCATTATAAGCGTAATTTTAATTAAAATTATATCCATTAAGTTTATAAATTATTTTCATGTCAAAGGAATTGAAAATAACTTTTTTGTAAGCATCAATTCATTATATTAAGCATGTTTACTTTATCCATGTTTTACTGTATACCTGTATCAAATTCAAATCCTTTATCGTGGAAGGTATGACAGCAGCCTCCAGCCTGATCATGCTGCTCCAGGACCAGAACTTTCTTCCCTGCACGGGCGAGCAGTACCCCCACACTCATACCTCCCATACCACTCCCAATGATGATCGTGTCCAAGTTTGGAGGGATTTTGCTGACCTTGAACCCTACAGAATATAACAACTCTTTTTTCTAAGGCATTATAAGAAACTGATTTGATTGACATTATGCTACAATATTTCAAGACTATTGCAAGTCAAGCATTCTTCCTGGGAAAAAAAATTTGTTGACACAATCATGCTGATCAATTTAGTGTTAATTTTTATATCAACAGTGAACTTGATTTGACATTGACCTTGACCTCTACATGACCTTTACCTTATTCTGATTCTGCCTGTCGCATTATGAACCGATGTTTCAGGGAAATGAAAATACAATGAAGCTTTAATAGAATGAATTTCCTTTTAAGTTTTTAAATTATTCTTGATGTTTTAATCTTTTCAGTATAAAACATTGAAAACTGATTGCATTTTGGCAAATTATATTATCGATAAAGAAGCAATTCTTCAGGAAATTATTATTACAAGTCACAGATACTTGATGATATTCTAATGTGTAATGGAAGAAAAATATGTTTACAATTTGTAGTCAAACTTAATTGATAGGTCATTCAAATTGTAAATATATAGGTACTATGTAGTCATGTATCTTATACAATGTCAGGGAATGATTCATTCTTCATATATAATAACTAATTCTAAATGATTGAATACCGAGTTTAATTTACATCAAATTAAGAATGCTTTGCCATAATTGGTTTTTTTTTTTTAATCATGCAATTTAGATTCATATTGAGGTTTTCTCTGTATTTAGTAAAATTATTTCCATGCATTCCTATTTTGTGACTTAATTATCCATGTTTTGTCAACACCCCAATGCTATAGGATCATGGCCATAGGAACCGGGAGGGGGGTGGCTGTGCCCCAATAATTTTGACGATATATAGTATACTATAGAAAATATAGTATATGCTCAAGCCCAATAAAAACGTCCAATGCCATTTTTTTGCTTGTAAGTTGTAGTTGATACTGCCCCCAACCCCCAACTTAAAACATATGGCTGTGCCCCCCCCCCCCCCTTCAAATTAAACTACAAACCTGAAGATATATAGCATCCACTGTATTATAAATAATGTAATTTAAAAATATTGTATCCATGCAATCAGACACATAAACATGATAAAAGTTTAGAACATTGTTTAAACTTGAATTGCATGCTTCCAGTTACTTTCAACAATAATTTACAAATTAATTGATATTTCTAAAATTTGAATATTTACACACTTTGTTTAAGAATTCGATCTCGCTCTTTCTGATCACTGACCAATGGTTCCACTGGACGTACATGTTTTGTAGAAAAGGGATTTTTAGCAGGTTTGGGTCCAGAGAAGAAAACTGACAAGGCGAAAATAAACACTGCAAGAAGGACTATTAATCCTAAAATAGACGGATTATTTGAAAGATATTGCAGTAGACTGCTAAACAATGATAAAACACTTGATATCATCTTTCCTTCTCGAGCTTTTAAACTTTGCCCTGTTTCTTATCAGTGAGCTTCGGTCATGTGTGTCACTTTGTTTATTTATGTGTATAGTATTTAAATGAACATCAATCCCGATCTTTTTTTCGAAGGGGGGGGGGGGGGCTCGGGGTTAAAAATAATGCATTTAGAATTTTGCAATTTATTGGTTACATATTTTGTAACAAATAAATCGTGAAACAATTCGTGAAAGAGAAAAAAACACATTATTTATGGTGTGAATTCCATCAAACAAATGGAAGATAAACAAAATATACATGATTCAACCATTAAAAAAAAATCAAAAAGATCGACTGCTAGTTTTGTACATTCATCATCTTAAACTAAGTACTTTTAAATATTGCATATTGATTTTCAAAAAAATAAAATAAATAAATATGAAGTAAACGAATTAAATATGATAAAATTTGTTAATTTTACTGTTAACAATTAAAAGTTAACGATTATCATTGATATATATAATTAATATTGGGAAAATATCATAGACAGAAAAAAAACCCACAATATCTACATAGAAAAAAATATTTCTGCACAAATTAGAAAAGTATAATGACCACATATTCCTACATGTATCATTAAACTCTTTAAAATTTTGTACTAATTTAATGATTGAAAATTAAAGGTACTTGGACACAGATTTGAAGTAAATATTTTCTCTATAATATTACCACTTATATATTCTAATAGCATTTCACACAAAAATTAATTGAAAATCTTATTTCATATAAAAGGTATTAAAATTTAAAAATCAATCTAGTTCTTACAAAGATAGAGTAAATTCAATTTTCTACATATTTCTGTTAAAAATGGATTTAAGAACTAAAATTCCCCTGAATGTATTAGTTAATCAAATTTGATGGCTAGTATTATTCAATTTTTTGTAATTTTATTATTTGAAAAACAATGAAAAAATGAATTTCTAGATAATTATTTAAATACATGTATCAAAAAGAGCAATTAGGTCACAGTAATAAATAATTTCGTTCTCTTCCTCACTCCTAAATTTAAGGTAAAATACGAATAAGCTTGTGACATACATGTATATAATAATTAGGGCTGGGCTATAATACCGATATTCCGGTATTTGTGATTCGTAAACAAAAAATATATTGTATTGCAATAAATTATGTTTTTCTAGAAGTACACATATATATTGGCAAACTGCATGGGTTTTTAGATAGATTTCTTACTTAAAATTAAATATGTTAAATATCATTTCAATTGTGCCAAACAGTACCAAACAGTAAGGTTGCTGCTGTATGCAATCTAATTAAAATCAGACTTCTTAGATCCGCGCCGTATTCACTCTGCTTCTTACGCAGAGTGAATACGGTGCGGATCTAAGAAGTCTGATTTTAATTAGATTGCTGCTGTATGGTTACATTTCATTCCAAAACTGTTGTGAAATCTACAAGAACTTTTTTGTGACAATGTACGATCGTATCAGTTTTTTACTCACTCTTTTTATTGATGGAGGTTATAATAAAATAATCAGAAGATCTCGAGCATTCTGACTGTCATTAAACATATGGCAATACAGTTAAAAATATTGCAATACAAAATTCCAAGCCCATACCGAGCCCTTAAGATAACAATATAATACAATATACAAATAGTAATACATGTACAGGGTGTTTCACAATATATGTCACACATCTTAAGACTGATAAATAAATAACAACAAAAGCTACATACACATTTTATATCTCATTTTAATCGGCATAGATTCAAAATTATTTTTTTTTAGTCAGAACTATCCAAAATCCACCACCTCAGTTACTATGGCAACAAATCCTAAAATGTTATTCTCGAAGTGTTTTCCCAACATTGTCTTAAATAACTTAAGAGACTAACGTTTATAAATTTCTGATCACTGTTTTGTATGTTCCCCAAGATTTCTGAGACTTTTCTTGTTTTATATTTGGCTTTTTAGAACCTTAAAAGTGCATATCTATATTTACTTAAAGTTGCATTTAAATAAATATTTCCTTTCAGAACTACCGGTAAGTGTTAATTGGTGTCCACTTCTTTCACTCTTCCTTTCAGTCAATCTTGCAAACTTTTACCCCGGCTCTGAATGTCATATGACTTTAACGGTTGAAATCTTGTATGCAGACATCCTTAACCCAAATCTAAGATTTCGAAATACTCTTGATACACTTACTGGCATTATTACAACCCGTTTTCTCCATAATTGACTTCACTCTGATATTGTTCTCATCTCTTCTTGATATTTTGGGGGTGGGGTAGGGTTGGGTGAAGAAGAGGCAGGGTTTAACTGTCTTTCATCTTTACATTATAATTTAATTTAAACCCCCTAATTATTCTTAATAGAAGAAAAGTAGACAGTAATTTCTGGTCTACTTATTTTTTTTTTTATCATAACCCCCTGTAAAATATATAAAATATCGTAAACAGTTCTTATTATAAAAAATTACAATAAATTTTTGCTGCAAGTTTTACGCAATTTTGAGAATAGCTGAAATTATGACAACACTGATTATATCATCAGTTACTTCCTGGTTTATTATAATTTTCCTGATATTTTGCAACATAATAATTTTAGAACAATGTGCTTAACTTTAGTGCTTTGGTATTTTTGGTATTATGCTCGATATTCAGATTATGCCCATTTAGATGTGTGACATATATTGTGAAACACCCTGTAGATAAGAATAATCAAAACAAAATATAACTTGTACAAGTATAAGTTACATGACTATATAATCTTAGAATAAACAAAGAATTATAATTTTTATCAAGTACATGTACATGTATATGATGGATATTGTTAATCTTGTCATGCAAACATCCTTTTTTGTTTTTTTTTCCTTCAATATATAAATAGAAAATGACACTTCAATTGAAATATATAAAAATAAATCTCAGTAAGGTTTGGAATTTTTTTCCCATAAATTTGAAATTTACAAGATTATACATGGAGACAACACAAAAGCAAAAAATAAATAAATGTATAAATATTTCTTTATATTAATCATTTACTGCTATCTATAATAGCAAATAATATATGACAACTTAAAAAAAAAAAATTTTAATATCAGGACTGGAAAAATATTCTCAATGCATATATATCTATTTAGGCACAAAATATTGTTTATACGTGTATTTGTTCCAAACTCACTGATCACTTCTGTTTCTTATCGGACTCTTCAGATTTCCTCAGTTCTTTCTGCAGGGCCTGTAGATCCTTGTACAGATTACGATGTAACAATGCAGAGGCACACAGCAGTCCTCCATACAAAGCCCCACCCAGGCCTACTGACATCACGTCCTGACCTGTCAAAGGGAGATCACGAAACATTATCTGTCATGCTGATCAAAATGATACAATAAAACTCGTTTAGTACAGAAACGGATATTGCGAATTCATGGATATAGTGGAGTTATTTTGGATCTCCAGCTATATAAATTAATTGACATTTAAGAGGTATCTCTCCAAAAACATAAAGAACAAAATGACTTACTGGTGGGGGGGGTATCCTTCTATAGGAGAGAAATACTTATCAACTATAATTTAAAAAAGTAAACTAGAATGTAAGAGTATACTAAGACCCACCAGTCAGATAGAGCCCTGGAATGTCAGTTTTTGGCCGGAGCTGGATGCTGGCCTCTGGTAGAAATCTCACCATGTTCTGTTCTAACCCGTACATTTCTCCATGCTGGAATCCCAGGTAGTACCGGTTACTGATGGGGGTACCCACGTCAAAGTACTCCACCTGGTGACACAAAAGAATAGGGGGAAATGGAATATTTGAGTCTGTGTTCATATTTACATGTATGTGTCAAAGCACATTTTCAAGGGAGACAACTCTAACAATTTCATAACTGTGTTTAAAAAAAGACCATAAATTAAAGTCTATCCATAATGCTGAATCATATACATTGTACCAGCATGTACAATATTAATCAGTACACTGTCATGTACTTAATATATGTTGTAAAATCATCAATATGTTTTGAAGATTAAATTGCCTAGTAATCTCCTAATACTAAGAGAGTGCCAAATTTATGTATGCCACGTTAAAAATTGAAATGTCTAACTAATCTACATTCACTGACACAGAAAATCAAATCTTTAAAACACATTTCTTTTCCTAAAACAATACCCCACCCACCAAAATTCCAAGATTTTTTAATACTTTAAACACAAATATTCAGAGTGACAAAATGAAAACAAACACATACTTTATTTTCCATTTTGGGGTACAGTTTAGTGCACTGCTCTAGCATCCTTCGTCCAATGGCATTTTTGATTTCTTCGTAATCCTCCCCTCTGTGTTTGACTCGGCCGTCTTCCCAGTCCTTGAACCATTTGTAGTGAGACCAGGTGATGATCAGACAGGTAGATTTATCTGAAATGATGTTCATTAAGAACAATTCATGTAGTGGTTTGTTGGGTTTTTTTGTTGAAGTTCTAAGGAATTTAATTTCCTGCACAGATAAATGATAATTAATTTTATAAGTCATTGAGAGTCATCATCACTGAAAATTAGATGTACATGTAATATGTATGCCTTTAGAGACAATTAATGTCTATCACTTTTTATTTTAATTTCTATCAATGAATATACATGTACATAAAAAGAAATATGAAAAAATATTAATTGTAGAAGGCCCTAATCATAGGAAACATATGTATTAGCAAAATTCATATACTCAGTGAACACTTTTTAAAGTACCTGGGTTTCTCTCATGCCATGTTGGGTCCTTGGCAGAGGGGAATGAAATAAACATCATGGGGACGTCATGGTTTGGCAAATCTTCCACCGACAGAGCACTGTATTCATTATATATCTGCTCCACATCTGGCCTGAAGTCAAAAATATGTCATAATCATCAGCATCATTATCATCATGATTTATTGCTTCAATTTTTTTCTCCTTCATGAGGGATATTTCATTACTTTTAAACACAAGAATTTAATTTGTTTAAATCATGGCCCCTGGATCAATTTGAATTTACAGTTCATACGCATGGTGATATATGGTGATATAAGCCTGCACACTTTGTAAGCTGTGCAGGT